CGGACTGCGCCGAGGGTCCGGAGGGTACTGGGACCGCGGAGGCTACTGACACCGAATCAGCACCCGAAAGTGGCGAAGTAGAGGCTCGGAGGGTCAAGTGGGACTACGGTGTCATCAAAGTTGAAGGTCCCACTAGCGTCAGCTACAAGTAGCCGCTGGCTTTCTATGCAACTTCTTCCGCTTTCTCACTATACTGATGAGACGAAGTCACTGACGACCTCGGCTCCGAGCCACCTACAATCAACGCTACTGAGTCGCTTGTACGAATAGACTAAAGCTCGGGCGCATTCTATATCTACCTGGCATTCCCCCAGACCATCGAGCGATTGACAATTCCTTTGACGCCGCTGGATGTGCAGGTTCCCAGGGGAAGATCCCAAAGGAATCAAGGATACCCGGACTTGGCGCGTTTGAGCGCTTTTTCGCCTCTCGACTGATCGCTGGAAATGATATAAGGGTCCCCGTTTCTCGAATATCCACTGTCTACAATCGCCCCCTCCCCTCCTCCCTCCTAACCCCCAAGTAGGTACCAAGGTCCCCAGGTCAAACCTCCGCCCGTCCACTCGCAACAACATTCACTGTCCAAGTCTAGTCATCCACCCCCTTACACATTTCACTGTCCAAGTCTATTCATCCACCTCCTTACGCATCGTCCAGCGATCTCCTCACACCAGGCTCACCGAGTCGAGCGAAGCTCCGTCCGTCCTGTTCTCTGATGGCAGAGGCAGTCGGTACACCACATACGTCACCAAGACGCAACCCATATACGGTCACATCATCAAGATCGTTTTGAACGGGAAAGCGAAGGATACAAACGAATCGACCGGCTCCATTCAGATCACCGACCCTAAAGTGATTGAGGCTTACCAAACCTTCGTTGACAATGCTCACGCAGCTGCTTACACGGCCGTCTCGACCGGTCCTGCTCATGCGCATCTCGTCGAATCTGAGCAACGATCCGTCGCGAAGAAGCGTGCGAAGGAGGAGATACAGACCTATCTCGGGACACTGGCGAGGGACTTGTGTGAAGGGAGGCAGGGTGGCGGAGAGATTGCCAAGGCCAGCCACCACGATGACGAGCCGCCCAAGTGATCTGCCCGGGTGAGGTGACTTCCAGTGTGCTGATACAAGTTGTCCGCCAGTGCAAGGGGGCTGACTTCTTTTCTGTTCCCGATATGTACATGATCGCAATTTGCAAATCCAAGGTCTCCTTGCAAGTTGTGGGAACGGCGGCCAAGCGCATGCTTTGCTAGCGCTACTGGCAGGGTTTCAGACACCAACAGCTAGATATCAATTCTCCTAACTTTCAGGCTTAAGTAGCTGCTAGACTCGAGCCTGTCGCTGGCATGCAGGATCGTAATGCTGGATGTGCTCTCAGCCAACGGGCCAGCCAAAATCACCAGCTCGCCTCACTTGCGATCATCTGCCACTGATCATGAGCACCAGTGTCGTCTTTACTCCAGCACATTCTATACGTACGTGGCTTTCCTCGCGATCATCGAGACCTTGATAACTCCTTTGACATTACTGGCTGTCCAGATCTGTCCGGGGGAGGGGCAGAAAGGATCATCTGTATCAGACGTGTTCGAGCGGCTTTTCGCCCTCTTCGACCGGCAGCTGGAAGAGATATAAGGTCCCTCCGCCCGTCCAGCGTCCCTTCACTCCATACTTCACACTCCCTCACTTCCAACTCATTTCAACGGTGTCGCTTCCCACACACGCCTTCACATATCATCTTCTTCTCACACTGCTACCTCCTGACACGATGTCCACCGGCCAGCCGAACGAGGTTTCCAATGTCGCCACCGTGTCGAGCAGAGGTCCCACTCGCCTGATCTCTCATGACAGCTGCACTTACGACATTGCTGAATCGAGGAATGGGTGGACCATCAGCAGAACGATCGAAAACACTAAGACGTATACGGAGGATGAATGGGAAACAATCCCGGCCAATGATGAAACGCTCAAAGCATACTTATCACTTTTCGACGAATTCCTCTCCGCTTCAGTTTACAGACCTGATGGGAGGGCGAAGAGAGCCGCTCTCGCGCCCGAGCTGAGTGCAGTCAAGCTACAGATCGCCGAGGAGCGTTTCACGGATTGCAAGGAGGGTGTTGAGAAGCGCGCTGCGGCTGAGGCTGCAAGGGCAACGGCCGGTCAGCAACCACCAGAGCCAGTCCAAGGAGGTACATCGGAGGGGGCCGAGGACATGACGGCGTGAGGGACTCTCTGGTATTCATCGATCCATATTGTATATAGCCGCTGATCAGATACCGTATGCAGGTGCGAAGAGCCAATCACTCGTTTTGGAACACCGAGAGAGCAGCAAGCCGAGCAACACACTCTTTGACAGGCCAGCCGACACACCACTCAAGCCTTATAAGCCTCCCGTCTCTTCGATAAGGCTTTGCATGAACAGTAGATCGTCCTCCTCTGCCCACCTCCCTGGCTCCTCTGGCAGTACAACATCATCGTCCACGTTTTCCCGCTTCCCGCACGGCTACACAGGCCCGACCAACTGAAACATCAACCTCCTCACAATCCCACTCAACGCCCCCGGCTGATGCTTGTACGCATCCATGACCATCGCCATCGCCGCCGCGCCCAGGATCGTCTCGCCAAAGGGTACGATAGGGACGTAGGCGCGTTTCCGGAGGGTGGACCACGCGGACTCGAGCGCGCGGGGCAGAACATACATTGCCAGTTCGGCTCGGCGTTTCTGAGGGTCAGCATTGCCCAGTCCAGTACACGCCGGATCCCTAGGAAGGCCCAAGCATGGGTGGTAGAGTGGTAGACATACCTTGTCCTCCAAAAACAAACTCGCACAGGTCGCGAAACCAATTCCCCAGAATGTCTCTTTCCGCCTCAACCCCCTTTCAGCCCACTTCGGACTCCAGCCCTGCAGGATAGTCTGACTCCGGAGACAGAAGAGCGCGTGATAGATGAAGACAAAGCCGCCGAGGAAGGAGCAAGAGCGGGTGATGCCGAGGACGACCCGCAAGAGGATCCGGAGGGGGTCGCGCTGGAGAGACTGGCGTCGGAGGACTAGGGTGGGTATGAGGTGGAGAGCTGAGTAGGCGGGAACCATGAAGCGCTAAAGAGGGTCAGCTTGGTTGTCCCGGCCCAAGTGGGGATTGGAAAGCTCACAAAGACCTCAAAGAAGCGTTTGAAGTTGTTCTCGACGCAGCCGTCTGTTGCAGGGTGCAAGATCTCGCTGATAATGTCAGCCCTCGCAGAAAAAGAGGTCTTGGCAGCTTACCAAGGAATTGTAGCAGGCACTTTCCACCCTTGACCCTCCTTCGCCATCTCCAAGAACCGCCTCAGCCTCACTGTATTCCCAGGTGTCACATGCTACACTGTCAGCTTCCTTGCCGCGAGACACGTGACTGCCACGGCTAGCTGACCTTATGGTCCAGCGCCATTTGGATATGCGCAGGCTCGATGATCCCCTGCCGTACCGCCGTCCTATTAGCAAGCACCGCACACTCGGGCCCTCTGAAGGCGCTGAGAATCCTAAAGGGTCAGCTTACACCTCACTGTTAGTTGTCGAGGGAGCACAAAGCTGAATGAGACGCACCACTTGTTGTATTCCCTCGGTATAGTCTCTGGGCTGAGCAGCCAAGCAAACATGATTTGCCCACAGCACAGGCCGAACAAGAGGACGTCGCCGTGCGGTATCCGTACGCCCATTTTGGGTGCGTATTGATTATACGACCCTTGGAGACCACGGACGAACATCCTTCCTGGTCAGCTGTCGCCCTTCCGCCAGGGGAAAAGGGCGTCTTTCAACTCACTGTTGCGCTACTCCCCGCCGCCTGGCCTTCGTTTCCCATAACAACCCTAAACTTCCCACCGCACCAGCTACAGCGGCCTGCCACCTCCTCTCGCCCTCTGCACCTTCACGCTCTGGCGGGCCGAAAGACGGCTTGTGGTTGAATCCCGCGCGAAACCGACGGCGCAGGTACGAGAGGGGCGGGGCGAGACGGAGTAGGTGGAGTGTGAGGGTGTTGAGGAATGTGAATGTGCCTAGGGGATGAGCTACTGCGTTTGACGGACGAGACTTGTTATCAGGCCAGGAAGCTCACCAATAGTTGCACCAAAGCGGAATGGCTCAGCCCCAAAGATGGCATGAAGGATGAGTTGTACCCGAAGTCCCTTCCTCCGTAAGGTACGGAAGAGGAGCAGTAGGACATTGACTCCTGCCCTGACCGAGAAGGCGAGCAAGAAGGATCCTGCCGTGTCAGCTCCTGCCCGCGCTATCATGCTTCGGCCAACTCACTCAGCCCACGCTTAAGAGCGAGGATGCCTGCGCGTTCAGGATCCCGAGGATACAGCTTCTTCGCGTCCTTGTTTCGCCAGACAAGCTCCAACCCTGCTCGCGAGACTTCAGCGAGTAGTCGATCGCGCTCGTTGGCTTGTAAAAGCGTGTCTAAGCGGGCTAGCGAGAGGGTACGCTTGATCTGGTCCGCTCTATCTGCGTCAGCTATCTCTTGCGGCCGAGAGATTTCGGCCCTGGCAGCTCACGTTTCAGCCAGATTAGGCGTTCCCGGATCACTCCTCAACCACCCCTGATCAGGCGGGATCCGTCTCTTCCCCTTCCCTCTCCCTGCTTCGGCATCTTCATAGCTCGACGATCCAGGGAAGAACACCCCTTCTTCCTCTCCTTCCTCCTTCTCCCTCTCCTCTCCGTCCTCGTCGAAATCATCATCACTTCCTTGCCCACTCCCGCTGCCCCCGCTGGGTATCATATCGCTCGACGGAGGGACAGGCGAAATCTGCGTGAACCGCAATCGCTTCTTCTCCCTTCCTGCACCGCCACCACTTGAGCCAGAGGAGAGATTCGACGCCGTCCGGCGAAGAGCAGGGAGAGGGGGTGGTTTGGGCGGGGAAGGAGTCTTGGAGAGGCGGAGAGAAAGGGCGTTATCGCTGGATGTCTCGTCGGGGGCGACGCTCGGTGCCGGTGAGGTCTTGGAAGGCGTAGTGACCACTGGTCCGAGCGCGAAGCTCTGGGCGGGTTGCGCGGTTGACGAGGTACCTTCCTGCTCGGGCTCGGACCCGGGCTCGTCCAACTTGTGGGGAAGCGGGGCGGTCTTGGACCTTTGCGGTGTATCTACCGGTACGCTGGGCCCATCGAGCGATTCTGGCGAGCTCGGCTCTGGTGTACTCATCTTCGCTATAGCTATAGATACCTATAGCTGATGTTGAAGTATAGGTGGACAAGTGAGGTACCGCCGGTTATGATGTTGACCGATCGACTTCCCCACAACTTTCGAACTGACGCACGGGATATTACGTCATAAGGAATGTGGGGAGACTGGAAAGTGGAGGTCGGTCCAAAACGGGATAGAACACTATCCTTCTCTTGCTTTCATACATCACACCACTGAAACAGGATATTGGATCTCGTAGGTGGTCTTGGGGGATCCTCTAGGTCTCAGGCGGACCCCTGAACTTGATTAATCGCCTTTGGCACTGCGAGAAGGTGAGCTTTGACGTTTCGCTTGAGCGTTCTTTCTTTCCTTCAAGGTCTCGTCAGCCGTTCGCTGAGAATGGGCTTGTGATGGCGATATGAGACAATGGGCTGATACGTTTCAGCGCTATATCACCAATTATGGGAGCATCAGCGTCCAAAGTGGGCCCTGCCGCGACCGAGATACCACCTCTTCCTCCCATATCGTCAGCCCCGGAGTCACCCGTCGTCCCGTCCACTCCCCTAGTCCCGGAGCTCCATACCACTTCCAGCCGAATACCAAGCATACTCTTTGCGACCGTTGGACCGGCCTTCTTCTCGCCGTCCGTGGCTACGTCCACTATCGACCTATGGACCGCACACGGCGGCACCATCCTACCCATCCCCTCCGCGCTCGTCAAAGCCCACACTTCGAACTACCTCTACATCGGCCCCGCCTCTCTCCGGGAGCTGCAAAGCCTACTGGAGTCAGCTGCGAAGGTTTTCGTTATCCCTGACGACCCGCTCATCCACTTCTTGAAGGGAGATATCGTCATCCTCGGGTCGACCTGGGTGGGCGATTGCGCGAAGGCAGGAGCGGTACTGCCGGACCAGGGATATGAGATCGTAGGGAACTCAGGAGCGCAGGCGGAGAAGGTCAGGATGACCCTGGATCGGCTAGCTGCACGCCTACAGGCCGCCGCACCTCGGTCCGACCGTACTTCGGCCTTCACACCAGGGGGGACACGGAAGGATCCCTCCCCTCCCCTCTCTGCTTCGCCAGATCCGACCTCTTTGGGGGGCAGCAAGCGGACGTCCAAGTCGGGCAAGAAGGTGCGATATATCCTTCAGCCGTACCTCGAGCTGGACCTCTCCTCCCCGACCCTGATCGCTACCTCTTCGCCCCCCCACTCGCGGAGCTCCAGCCGCGGATCACCCTACGCCCCTGCCCAGCCCACCACACCCCGGCCCGATGCGCACAAAACGCCTCAACGCCGACTCCACATCCCCAATCCCGTCCGGACGCCCTTCACTCCCCAGCGTCCACCGCCCGCTCTCCGGCTCGCGACGCCCTTCTCATCCCCCTCCCCTCCCCCTCCCGACTGCATTGATACCTCCGACTCCGAATTCATCCCCTCGGCGGCCGATCTCAAGCTGCCGAGCTATTCTTTCATGCTTGATACGGACTTGTCTCCTGGATTTCCGCTGGAGCAGCTGGATGAGGCGCAAATGGCGCAGCTTTTGAGGGAGATTGTGGAGGATGCGAGTCGGGGGATGGAGGGGGAGAAGAGGTACTGGGATGCGGAGCTTGGGTGGGAGGTGCCCTTTACTGCATCTAAGCAGGAGCGGAGGATGGTCGAAACGGAGGAGGAAGAGGAGGAGGCGGAAGAAGTGGAAGAAGTGAAAACAGCCAGGACAGAGGGGGCTGGGTCATGGAGAACTTTGGCCAGAAGGGAGATCAAGGCGGAAAGGAGCCGATTGGAGGTTTGGCTAGGGGATGAGATGTCCCGCTCTGGATCGAGGACGGATGGGATCGACCCAGGCACCCGAGCGCACAGCTACGATCCTCGTACGCCCCAGCCGAAGCCGAAGCCGAAAACAAAGTCCGGGGCGAGATCAAGCACCAAACCGGCGGTCCTCTTAACGCCCGTCTCGCTGCCCACTATCGCGCATCGATCGGTCGTGGCAGCCACCGGTCCTCCTACTCGCAAGCAGCCAATGCGCCGCATTCGGTCCAAGATCCTACCAGGCCCGATATGCGAAACGACGGGGAAGGGGAAGGGGAAGGGGCAGGAGGGAAAGCAGCTTCTGGCGGGGATAGCGGTGGACCACCGGGCGGCGAAACGGTTCCGAGTCTAGTCGGTACTTGATGCATGTCAGGTACGTTCAGCTTCGTACTCCGTACGTCTCGCGGTAGGCTCGTAAGCTGATGTGCCAGTCTCCGTCCCTCCCATACATGTCTTCGTGCGAGAGTCGAAATCCATGCGCCAAAAGACAGAAACACTATACCCCTACGCATACAGCTCTCAACCTAATTTTCACATCCCACTTGTAGCATAAACTGTCTAGTCACCCAAGTTGTATACAGGCACAGGAAGGATCCGCTCAAGTTGTACATAGCCCACCTAGAATAGCTCAAAAACATGTATATACAAATCAGGCAGCTTTAACCAATATCCAATATTCAGCCTAAAGATCACCCATCGCCTCCAACCCCCCATTCGCTCACCTCCCTTCCCGCCGGCTGTTCCCTGTAGCACTCAGTGCTGATGATAACAAGTCGAACACATCCCCTTCCCCTTGAACACATTCTGCGTGAAGTCCGCACACCCGCACTCGGCACAATCCACAATCGTCCCGCCCCCTCCGTCCTGACGGGGCAACATCAATCCGCCCATCCCCGATGTCATCCCGTTTACCCCATTTCCGCCATTCCCCGCCATACCCGCACCAGCACTCGCACCAGCCCCCGCCCGCTCGGCATACTCTTCGTCCTCGTCCCCCATGAAAGGCGACCCCTCCGGCGAGCTCTCGAGGCTAAAGTTCCTGATAGCATTTCCGGTGTTGGACCGATTGCGTCCGACCGCCGGAAGTGGAGGCGCCAAACTCGCTTGACCGAGGATGTTCTGGCTGCTCTGACTCCGGCGAGACATGGGCGGTGGGGGTGGCGGGGCCTTCTTGCCGGTGATGGTGGAGGAGCGGGACCGGTTAGCGGGGGTAGACGACTCCATGACGGGGTTGGCGGCCAGTGATGCCGTGGCATAGTGATCGGCGTCGTCGTACCCCTGCGACAGCTCCGAGTCGGAGGTGGAGAGGTCGAGGGAGGGACTAGGGGGAAGGTGGTGTGTCGCCAGAGAGGATGCGGTACGTGCCGGCGGAGGAAGGGTGCGTCCGCCTCCACTCGCGCCAGCCATGGGTGGAAGGGTCCGTTTTGGCATCGGTGGCGGGGTGGCAGTAGTGCTGGTTGGTGAAGGGACGTAAGGCTCCGTATATGCCGCAGGGAACATGCCCGACCTTCCCTCCCCTTCCCCGATCCACCAATCCCCCGAGATCTCGCTCTTGACAGCAACGACCATGCCCTGTCTCAATGACAATTCGTCCGGCTTTGTACCCGCATAAGCGTATAGGGCCTTGACGTACCGCACATTCGACGACGCGGGGGTGGTATACGTTCGCCGCATGGGCGGAGGGACCGCGCTACTTTGGGTAGGTGAGTCGGCCTGCATGACCTGGTTATTGGAGCCCATGGTGCTCGTCGATCGTGCGCGCCCGTTCAGCGCATACTGCGCCCGAGGACTAAGGACGGGCCGCTCCTCGTACTCCTCCTCCGAGTCGTCCGGCTCAGAGGGGAGCCGTCCCTCATCCCCGTATCGCTCTTTCCGCTTCGACTTGGTCGCGACGCTCAAGCCGGATTTACGCCCGAACGACCCGAAAGAAGGGAGCATGCTCAGCCGGCCGGTCTTTCCGGTAGATGCAGAAGCGGACGCGTTGGAGTGGGACCGAGCGCGGTTGGTGGAGGATTCGTCCTCTGACGAGTCGGCCGATGGGCGCGATTTTGCGCGGCCGGCAGAACGGGCTGAGGCGTTGGATTTGGCGCGGGGCCGATTGGAGCTGGATGCAGCGGCGGATCTGAGTGTCAGATGAGTATGAAGACTGTTTAGGAGTGAACGTACCCGGATGGCCAAGAATCGCGGAGCTCCTCGAGCAGATCTTTGCACTTTGCGAAATACTCCAGCTCCGCCTCGAGCAGGTCTGCAAGTTCGCCAAACTGCTGCTCTTGTTCGCCTTGGATCACTTCCATGCGGCCCGTTGTCTCTTCCGAGACCTCATCACTGAGCTATCAGCATGCGCCTTATCCTAGCGTATGATTCTCCCGAGCTGAATACTTACAATCGCTCTCGGGCCATCTCGACCTCCAGCTCCAACCCTCGCTGATCCTTCTCCTTCTTCGAGCTGTTCAACTTGGAGATCGCTGAGTCCAGTGCCAATCTAGCCGTCAGCCCTGATCCCACTGAAGAAAAGAAAGCCCAGCTTACCGCCTAGAGTCCAGCTTCTTCCGGAATGTCTTGTACTCGTTGACAGCGTCGATAGAGCGTTCTGGCCAGTCAGCTCAGCTCTGGCACTCGAAGCACGCAGTAGTAGTGCTCACCCATCCCTGCGATATAGTTCTCGCGTAGACGTCCGCCAAACTCCTCTTGCGCCTGCCTTCATCAGCCCCGCCTTTGTTCAACGTCGAGCCCCTAGATTCCGACGACTTACAATAGCCATCTTGCATCTCGTCCGGCCGTATTTCGCTAGCGCGTCGCCTAGCCCATCAGCTTCACTCTCCTAGCAGCTGAGAACCTGCTGGAGGACATACCAAAGGCGTCCTTCAAATCCCCTCCATAGTCAATCATAACCAGCCCCAACGCCTCTGTGAGCAGCACCTTATCCTTGCCCGCATTTGGGTCGGCGGACGTCTTGAGCTTGGTGATGTTCTCAAAGAAGGGCATGGAGGTTGCGTGCAATCTGGCAGTCAGCTTGTCGTCAGTCCAGTGTAGGACATGGCTCGAGATTGGGAGACCGGGGGACGGGGGACATACCGCTCTATCCCAACTCGCTTGACATCTACCTCCCTCTCGAACTCTTGGAACTCGGATGAAAGCTGCGTCTTCTCCCCTGAGAACACCTTCTGAGTCAGTAATAGACCCTCAATTCGGTTGAGGTGGATAAGCGGACCTTCTCTTGTGTCCATTGGGTGACCTTCCCAAGCTGTCCAACGTTAGCTGTGGCTCATAAGTGAGGCTGGTGTAGCTTACCTGTTTCATAGCTTTTCGCTGCATCTTGTTCGGAATCTCTTCAGCAGATAGCCTGCCAACTGATCAGAGGGAACAGCCAAGCTAATAAGTATAGTCGATGGATTGATGAACAAAGGTAAAATATCGTTGCATGTCCGCAGCAACAAAGCGCAGATCATGCCATGCCGTAACGCGTAAACCTCGGACCGGAAGTGGCTGACCGGCCGACCCATCTCCATGTCCAGCGCTCCTTATCTCTGCACAGCTGTATACCCTTCGAATAGCCAGCACGAGCAGCACAGCGCCGGTGGCTTGTAGAGGTGGTCTGCTTCTCCACGTGCTCCCTGCAACCTGGCTCGAGATGGCGCAAGACTTATCCTACGTGATCATCTCTGGCGGGACTGGTGCAAACGCCATTGCCTCTGCCTTCGGTGCGGACCCAGCCTTCGTCTTGCCCGTCTCTGATGACGGAGGGTCTTCCAGCGAGATACTGCGGTGCTTCGGGGGACCATCTATAGGGGATATTCGTAAGCCTGCTTCCTAGTCCCACTCGAGCAAGAGTCGAGGAAGACTAAGCGGGGCAACAGCTGATATCAAAGGATCTCGTCTGACTCGGCTCATACCGCTCGCGGAAACGGCGAGTACCCGGGAGGAGAAGGAACGGAGCGCAATCTATGAGTTGCTAGCGTATCGTTTTCCGGACGATGCGGGGGAGAAGGTGGTACGGGAGATATGGGGCGAGATTGTGGAGGGGCGGAGCAGTCTATGGAAAGATATCGGGGACGACAAGAAGGAGTGTATAAGGGGTGAGTCCACTTTTGATTCTGAGCCAAGCGAGGTGGTTCTGACTCCCAGCCTTCTTGGTCCACTTTAACGCCCTCACGCTCAAGCGCGCACACAAGCGCTTCTCCTTCCGCAACTTCTCACTCGGGAACGGATTCCTCACTGGCGCGCGGGACATGTTTGGCTCCCTCCCCTCCGCCATCTTCCTCTTCAAGTCGGTGGCATCCGTAGCGCCCGATACGCACGTCATACCAGTGATCAATACGAACCAGACGGTCACGATAGCGGCGGAGCTAGAGGACGGGGAGACGATTGTTGGGCAGTGCGCGATCAGTCATCCGACGGAGCCGGCTGCTGTGCGAGGAGCAGGAGGTGCCGGAGCGGGCGCGTTGCAGCTAGGTGGAGCGGGAGCGGGAGTTCCAGTGGGGCAGAGCGGGTCGGCGCAGCGTACACACTTCCGGAGGGACTCGAGGACATTCGATACGTTGCCTATTCCGTTGGGACTCGGGGGTGGGATAGGAGAGGAGACGTCACCAAAGTTGGAGAGTGTGCAAGAGGTGGGTGGGGAGCAGGGCGGGAATCTGGGATACAGGAAGGGAGCGGAGGAGGTGCCGCTCGAGTCCCCGGTCAAGAGGGTGTTTTACATCAATCTGTACGGACAGGTGAGTCGTTTGTGTCTCGGGGACCTGTGTCAGGCTGTTTGCGAGTTCAAGCTGACCTGAGCAGGAAATCTTCCCTCAGCCTAATCCGAGCTATCTCGAATCGCTCAAGACGCGGGACGTCCTGGTTTATTCGTGCGGGTCAATATGGACCAGTATCGCCCCGTGCCTGTCATTGCGCGGGCTCGGCGAGGCCGTGGCAAGGTCTACATCTCTTAAGGCCAAGGTCCTTCTGCGTGAGCCATCCTTCTCCTGCTCCGAATGGGGCAGAAGCTGATCGTTAGTCAACTCGAAGAATGACAGAGAATCTCCCGACTACCTCGCGTCCGACTATGTCAAGGCTATATCCAACAGTTTGACTCATCACTCCACAAGAAAGTTGGATACGAGCAGTCTGATCACGCATGTCGTCTATCTCGAGGGGTCCGCGGTCGAGGTCGACGAAGACGACCTGAGAGTAGGTCGTGACTCATAGTTTGATACATCTTGAGCTGACCAAACAGGTGATGGGAGTCGAGACTATCATGATCCCTCGAGCTACGCATGGCTTCGCCGAAGATCAAATGCCCCTCTTTACGCCCGAATCTGTATCAGCGGCGATGGGTTTGATCTTCGGGGAGTGATGACGACTCTGCGAAATCCGTGAGCTTAGACCGTGCGCTGGAAGTGCATCAGGATGGAGCTGACAAGCGCAGCTGAGTAAACAGGCTTCAGCGGAGGTAGAGCTGCACCTGGAAGTCTGTCTTTCGTCCGTACCCGTGGATCCTTCGGAGCTTTCGGCGTCTTTGATCGGTCCAGCCTTCACATGCTAGGGGGCCGGTGGGTCGACGGGCATCATACGCCGTGGCTGTCAAGCAGAACAGCCCTGAGTATTAGGCAGACTGAGGCACGCGCGAGCGGAGAGCGAGGAGACAGGAGGAGACACGGGGCCGTCATTTCTAGGTGCCGGATCGGAAGCGATCCAGCCTTGGTGGGGCTGAAGGGATCTCAGCGAAACCTTGCGGAAGATTCGCGCTCATGCATCTCATGCATCCATCAGATCTAGCCTGGCCTGAGATCCGAGATCTATCCCGTCAATGCAAGGAGATGCAACGGCCCCGCACCCAGTCCGCGCTCCCCCACCATACCGTCGCCGTTTAGCCGCACCGCCGCTCTTCCCGCTAACGCTCGGCAGGACTCGGCGGAATTGCTCCGCATGCTTATGAGCGTTCTTAGGCCTAAGTTAAATATAGTCTACTCTGGAGCTCCCACTGCCCAGGGCATTGAAGGGACTCCACGGGAGATCGCCCATGTGCTCATTGCCCCGCAGATTGCGGAAAGGAAGCAACCGTAATGGTCCGCCGCTGAGGAATGTGCACCCAAATCCTCCGCTTTCGACCGTATATCCAGCGAGCAAACCTTGTCTGTTTCAAAAGCACCACGCATTGTGCCTTTGAGTCTGGCCAGAGCTGAGTAAATGGTCCGGTAAGGTGCCATACCCGCGTCAGGCACGATGTGCAACACGCTAGCCCTAATGGCCTCATGACCTGCTGACTTCACCTGAATCGCGTTGGAATCCGGGTCCTCTTATAACCCAGCGCGTCCAAGCGCGTCTTTCCCCCTTTGCAACTTTTCCTTCACTTACTGTTCTGACTGTGCGACAAAATGAGCAAGTATATCGATTCTGAGGCGCATCGAGCCGTACGAGCGCACACCAAGCCTGCGCCTGTAAGTTCGGCGTTTTCAGTGTGAGATGAACTTTTCGCTGACCCCGCCGACAGATCAATTATGTGGCCGCGATCTTCGCTGCGATTGGCTCGTTCCTCTTTGGATACGGTGAGTTTTTCCGCCAGCGCCGATGCATGAAGGCTGGAGGGAGAGTTGGCAGAAGGATCACCCCCACTCAGTCTCCACTCCTCCAGAATTGAGAAGCAGAGGAATGTGACGTAAAACAACCGCTTTGGATGATTTGTTGCCGTAAAAATACCAATCTGGGAAAACTTTCTGGCTTGGGAGGGATTTTGGCGAGTGGGCAAAGAGTGGGCGAGTGGGGGTGGTCCTGAGTCTTGGGTGGGCTGACAGGCATAGATAGTGGTATCATCGGATCCGTCATCTCGGACAGCTATGACCAATTCCACAGCTACTTCAACAAGCCCGATTCGAGCATTACCGGCGCGGTCGTTTCCGTATTTGCTGGCGGGGCGTTCTTTGGCGCTCTGCTGGCGGGCGAGACGGCCGATCGTTTGGGTAGGCGAAGGACTATCCAGCTTGGCGCTCTGATTGCCGTCGTTGGTGAGTATATCCACTTGAGTACTGGCGGCTGGCGCAGGGCATCGCGCTGATTCCGCAGGATGCGCCATCCAGACCGGTGCGGTCCATATCGCCATGCTCATTGTCGGCCGATTCATCGCTGGTCTCTCTATCGGGGTGCTCAGGTATGACTTTCCCTGTGAAAAAGTAGAGGTCATGCTGATCAGCAGTATGATTGTTCCGGTGTACCAAGCCGAGATCTCGCCTCCCCATGCTCGCGGACTCCTCTCTGGCTGGACCCAGCTCATGATCGTCTGGGGCTTCTTCGCTGCCAACTGGTGAGTCAGCTCAACCTAGTACATTGACCAGAGCTGACAGTCAGGATCGGCTACGGCTGCCAATTCCTCAAGAACGACGGACAATGGCGTATCCCCCTCGCCATCCAGATCGTCCCCGCTATTTTCCTCTTCTTGTCAGTGTATCTCTCCGCCGGTAGCGACTTATGCACAAGCTGACGTCTCAGCGGGATGTTCATTCTCCCGTACTCGCCCCGATGGCTCGCCAAGCAGGGCCGGCTGGAAGAGGCCAAGGCGACCCTCTTGCGCCTGCACGGCGGCAACAAGCGCGCCAACCACGAGATCATCGAGCAGGAGTTTGACGAGATGATGGCTCAGATTGCGTGGGGTGAGTCAGGCTATCTTCGGGGCGTCGGTGTTCGCTGACCGCCTAGAAAACGAGAACCTGGCTACCAGCTACAAAGACCTGATCGCCGACAAGGCCAGTCGCCACAGGACTCTTTGCGGTTGTCTTGTTCAGGCCATGTGCCAGTGGACCGGTGTCAACGTCAAGTAAGTCTGGCATGCGCTGTCTCGGTTCGCCCACAGATGCGCTTGCTGACGACCAGCAACTACTTTGGTCCGACCATCTACAAGAACCTCGGATTCGGCGGCAACACCACTCTCCTGATCAACGGTGTCTCGGGTGCATGGCAGGTCGTTGTCGTATGGGTCTTCATCCAGTTCATCGGTAAGCCTCTCCCCGACCCCAGCGCTGACATCCAGTGGACCGCGTGGGACGTCGCAAGCCCCTCATCGTCGGACCCATCCTCATGGCCGTCTTCCTCGCATGGCAAGCCGGTATCGCCTCCCTCTTCTCGGTCGAGGGGTACGCCAACCTCGGCGCCGGCGTAGCCGGTCTCGTCTCCATCTTCCTCTTCTCTGGCGCCTTCTCTGCGTCGTTCGGCCCCGTTAGCTGGATCTACCAGTCCGAGATCTTCCCGATGAACCAGCGCGCCCTGGGTACCGCCGTATCGACCGCCTCCAACTGGCTCAACAATGTTATTATCGGCCAGATCACGCCGTATGGGTTTGAGCGGCTCGGATGGAAGTACTTCTTCATCTATGTCGCGACGAACTGCAGTAATGCCGTCGTGTCGTACTTCTTGTTCCCTGAGGTGAGTCCCTTTCCGCACGGCATCCCCCTAGACAGAGGCTGACAGTACGCAGACCAAAGGTAGATTTCTTTCCCTCCAGGTAACGATATTTGGGGACATGAGCTGACCGAAAAAGGCAAGACGCTCGAGGAGATCGGCTTGCTGTTTGGGGACACCAACGTCCGCGTACCCGAATTCCACGGCGCCCGCGACACCGTCATGGAGGGACGGCACGACGAGAAGGGCGAGATTGCCCACCAGCACTGATTGGGTCCAAAGTAACGATTTTGGGGGTGTAGGTCGGTGTGTGTGTGGGTATCAGCTTCTATGCAGATCAGTATATGTCATCATCGATAGCGACTGGTTAAAGTTGTGAAGACTGAAGCGCGGCAGGCCAGCCAGACACGGGCGTACAGCGTGAGATCAAATCTGCTCCTCATTCCTCATTACGTCACGCCGGGTTGAAGATTGGTTTGCTCTTTGGCGACACCACTATCCAAGCCCAGCTCTGTAGCAGCAGCACTGCTCAACTCCGTTCGATGAAGGCGATCATTTGTGTGCGCGCGAATATCAGACCTGTCGCATGAGCATTCTTACGGCTCTGAGATGTCAGCGCGAGGAATGAGTACGAATTGCCCACGGACGGTTGGACTGCTCGGTTCGACGCGCGTTTAGGCTTCTACTGGAAGAAAGAACTCATAGATGGCAAATGGAATACATCAGTGATGTGAGTGCGATGCTCACTGGCGGAACACGTGACCACCGCTGGCAAGAAGATTATACCTGAGAGAACCCTAACCTATGCAAATGCACGCTCAATCTCCTTCCCATCCTCCCCGCTCAGCCCCCTCTCCTCTTGTCCAGCCGCACTCCACTTGTTCCAGATCGCCTTCAACTCGTCCTTCTCTGCCTTCTCCAACCCACCCTTGGCCGCCGCCTGACCCAATGCCCTGATCGCATTCTCCTCATACTCCACATCCTCATCCGCCTCCCTCGCCTTCAATCCATCAATCAACGCTCTAAACACCCCCGTCCGCTTCAATCCATCCAGCAATACCTCCGACTCAGCACCCGCTGCAGTCTGCTTCATCCTCTCCTCGAGCATCGCCTGGACTTCTTTGGGTATCTCGCCCTCATACTTCTCGCCAGACTGAAGGACGAGGGTGTTGATCAGGAAAGCGGTCTTTCGGCGGATGGGGGATGCAGAGTCCGCGGCGCTAGCGGCAAGGACGCGATAGCCCTGGTCGGAGGAGGACGAGAGGGCGTGGGCGGCCAGAGGCCAGTGTTTGAGGGAGGAGGAGAGGGCGTAGGTCGCGCGGGCGCGGGTGGATGTGGGATGTTGGCGGGAAGAGGAGGAGGGTTTTATAATTTCGAGGATGGGTGGGAGGGCGTTGTTGACAATCATCTGTACGTTAGCTTGGTCAAGAGGGAGGCTGAGGGAGAGATGGGTAAAACGTACAGCTGCCTGAGCCTTCAGGTTGTTTTGCACTGCCGTGCCAATAATCCAGCACGCGTGTGCTACGATCCCGTCCTGTGGTGACTGTAGCAGCTCTAATATTGGCTCCCACATCTTCAGAACCGTCATGTTGTTGGCATTATCTATGAGCTCGATCATCTGATCCGTCAGCTTTCTCTCGTACATCCTGGTAATGTGCACAGCTCACCATCTCGAAATCGTCCAGCGCCTCTATCCGCTTATCCACCGGCATCTTATCATCCATCGCATACGCCATCTTCTCCTTCATCATCGTCGCGTCGCTCTTGCCCATGATGGCATCTAGCATATCCGAGCTCAACTCCTGCTGCGGCCGTCCAGGAGCACCCGATTCGGGCGTAAGAGGCCCAGGTGTTGATGCGGGCGAAGCATCGTCGAGGCTGAGGTGGCTGGCACGGTAGAGTGGATCTGAGGGGTGAAGGGCCGAAGTGCCTTGATGCGATTCCGAGGCGGGGTGGAAGCGGAGACTGAGGGGTTCGGTGGGTTCAGCAGAGGGAGCGGGTTGGGCAGGGGCGGGGGTGTTGGCGATGGACCACCGGAGGAGCTCGTTCAAATCGGGCATTGTGTTGATCGCTGGTGGTAATGGGGTCTGAGCTGCTTGTCTGGGGTTGGTCGTGGGGACGATGTACAAAGAGCTAAGTGTGTTGATGAGATCGAAATCTTTATGATAGCTGGCGGCAAAGAGCCTTCTGGAAGATCCACACGTTGAATTGATCGGTGGAGGCAGAAATTACGTCACATCTTCTGATACGCCCCTGAGAGAATCCCACGTCATCATTGACTGAATTACTCTTTGGATTCACTTCACCGGCTCAGAGGCTGCAGCTATACTTGTCGATAGGGCAGCGTATGCAGACATCCTCTCATACCCATCATCTTGATCATATACCCATAGAGATGTCTCTCCTACCCCTCCACTCGGACAATGGAGGCCCGTCGTCAGTCCCCGCTCCCCGGCCAAACGGCGACAAGGGCAAACAACCCGCCGCCGGTGGGACCGACGAAGCTGGGAAGCAGGGCTATGACTATACCGAGAATGCTCCCCAGGCCGTCGTCGATGCCATCTTCATCGAGCGGAAGAGGGAGGAAGAGGAGGGTCCGCCGGATATGATGGTCGGAAGCTGGGCGAGCTGGATGAACAACGATGGAGCAGGTGCGCCTCCTTGATACCCGGATCCGAGCGGTTAGCGGTTCCGACTGACTCGAGTAGATAGGGGAATCTTCCCATCCTCTGTGACGCGGGCGCCACATCGTCCAAACTCTCGGAGAGGCAGTATGGCTTCACGGCGGTCCAGCTCGTTCATCCGGCCACCGGGACTGCACAACCGACAGCGGTCCTCTCAGGACCTCCTGCAATCGCCCGTCTCTGGCGTCTTTGTACAGGACTCAGAGGACGAGCTCTCGCCCACCTTCGAGCACCGGCCACTACCTCCGCGTGCTTCGGGGTCATACCAAGCGGGGATGGCCTCTCCCAGGCGATTCGAGGGCAAGCGAAAGCACCGTGCACCGAGCACTTCTCAAGACGGGTACTTTGACCGGCGAGCGGGACGGAGGGAGGAGGAGAGTGAGGCGGGCAGCCCAGAGAGTCCAGTCAAGGGGACCGCTCTGAGCAAGATCGTCTCGTATATGGGATTCGGACGGCATGAGGGCGAGGAAGATGGGGATGAAGAGCAAGGACCGAGTCGGCGCCGCTCCGTCTCTCGCTCGAGGGGGTCATTCGACTCGCAGGACTCTCGACCACGCTCCCGGTCGTCCAGCTCGTCAGGATGGGGTCTGTCGGACGAGGATGACGACTTTTCAGACCGACCGGAAGGCGAAGAGGGTTACACCTCGTCCCTTGCGGATGATACGTCACTACCGCCACAATCTCGACCCGGCTCGCCAACCCTTCCGCTCATCCCCCAGACGGGTGACGATATCTTTGGCGAGCGCGGTGGGCGGATGTCGGAAGACTTTGAGCCAAAAGACTTTGCCAGTACCACCGTGCCGTCCCGCCAGACCATCTTGTTGCCGGACGAAGATTTGTCGATCCGCTTCACTTGCTACCGCACAGATCCATTCCGGAACCTGCTTTGGTGGTTGGGTTGTATTTTCACCTTTGGTATCCTGGGTCTGGTAGGGCGCTGGGTGCCGAGAACATGGGTCCGATTCTGCGGAAAGGAGACCGCGTTCGATGAGGCCAAGGAAGGATCATGGCTCGTTGTCGAGGTGAGCTTGAAACCCCCCGTCAAATTGGGAAACGCTGACTCTTAGACCCCCTTCGGCGACCTGCACGTCATTGACCTCCAAATCATCCCCTACCCCTACCCCCTCTCTACCGTCTTCCCCCAAGCCATCATCCCGGGTGCATCCGGTTCCCGCGCCGCCTCCATCCGAAGCCATCCACGAATGAACGCCGTCGGCTCTCCCGCCGCCGCCCAGATCCCCACGCACGCCATCAATGGCGAGCCAGGCGGAGTCGGCGCTGCCAAGGATCTGACGCAGGATCTCGAGCCGGGGAAGACGACGTGGGAGGAGACGATGGGGTTCTTGAAGATCATGGAGTATAGGTATACCCGCTTCGCGCTCGAGCCGGGAACGGGCAGATGGGCTATGATCAGGTGTGTTTAACGATCGAGGTGAAGGGCTTAGCTGATAGTGCAGGGATTGGCGGGATCCGAGGTGGTCTAGCGCGAGAGCGGTCGCTCATGGTCTGGACAGCGGAACGAGGGAGCAGCGGAGGGTGTTGATGGGTGGGAACTTGATTGATATCGCGTCCAAGTCGGTCGGAGGGCTGTTGGTGGATGAGGTGAGCTCTAGATCCCGGAGACTTGTCCGCTTACGACGCTGACATGTTTAGGTCCTCCACCCCTTCTACGTCTTCCAAATCGCCTCAATCGTGCTCTGGTCCCTGGACGACTATTACTACTACGCCTTCGCGATCGCCGTCATCAGTATATCAAGTATCCTGAGCACGCTCATCGAGACAAAGCGGACCATCGAGCGGATGAGGGAAATGTCACGGTTCCACTGCGACATGAGTGTTTTGGTAGATGGGGAATGTGAGCTGGCTAGAATTCTCCGTCCTCGAAGATCAAAGCTGACACTTCAGGGGAACGGCGCGACTGCGAAGACCTCGTCCCCGGAGACATATTCGACGCCTCAGACCCCACCCTCGCTGTCGTCCCATGCGACTCCCTCCTCCTCTCCGGCGACGCCATCGTCAACGAGTCGATGCTCACTGGCGAGTCGGTCCCCGTCTCCAAGATTCCGGTCAAGGACGACAGTCTCCGGGTCATGTCCCGCGAAGCCAAGCAGGGGAGTAGCGAGATTGATAATGATCTGGCAAAACATTACTTGTTTTCGGGGACCAAGATCATCCGCGTTCGAGCTGGAGCGAGACCGTCGTGGGCGCCTAAAAGCGAGGAACCGGTCGCGTTGGCAATGGTCACTCGGACGGGGTTCAATACGACCAAGGGGGCGCTGGTCAGGAGCATGCTGTTCCCAAAGCCGATGGGGTTCAAGTTCTAGTAAGCTGAACGCTACGCAGTGCCGGGGTGGAGCTGATCCTTCAGTCGCGACTCGATGAACTTTATCGGAGTATTGGCTATGATCGCTGGGCTTGGCTTTGCAGTCAGCGCGGTCGGCTTTGTCCAGATGGGCGTGAGTTGCAGTTGTAGTGTCCGCGTCGAATGCATAAAGCTGACTTTCTAGATCGCCTGGCATACCATCATGCTCCGCGCCCTCGACCTGATCACCATCGTCGTCCCCCCTGCCCTCCCCGCCACTCTCACCATCGGAACCACCTTCGCCATCGAGCGTCTCCGCAAAAAGGGCATCTTCTGCATCTCCCCCAATCGCGTCAATATCGGCGGCAAAATCAACGTCATCTGCTTTGACAAGACCGGGACGCTCACCGAGGACGGTCTGGACGTACTCGGTGTCCGCACTATCGATAAGCACGAGGGCCGATTCTCGGAATTACACGGCGACGTCACTGAAGTCCCTGCTACCGGTGGACCGAAAGGCAAGACCCCCCTCCTTTATGCTTTGGCGACATGTCATGCCCTCCGCCTGATTGATGGGGAGGTTATCGGTGATCCGCTGGATATCAAGATGTTCGAGTACACTGGTTGGACGCTGGATGAGGGGCAGAGTCGGATCGTCAGTAAGGGCAAGTCGGCGGGCGAGGCTCGGCCGCAGGCGCTTGTGCAGACTGTGGTGAGGCCGCCAGGGTCGGAGAAGTGGAAAGTCGAGGATGCGATGCGGGTGGGGGCGAAGGTCAGTCTAGAAGAACGCGACTCCTACGGTCTATCAGCTGACTTTGTAGCACGCCCATTTCCTCGAATTGGGTGTCATCCGGACATTCGACTTTGTGTCTGCCCTTCGACGAATGAGCGTCATCGTGAAACGGCTCAAGTCGACCAGTATGGAGATCTACGTCAAGGGCGCTCCTGAAGTTATGCCTGATATCTGCGATCCTGCTTCCTGTATGTCTATCAGCTGGGAGAAGCAAGAACGCGAAGAGCGAGCTGACATGCTAGTCCCGAATGATTACGAAGACATGCTTTCATATTACACCAGGAATGGTTTCCGAGTAATCGCTATCGCCGGGAAGAGCGTCGAGGGGATGACTTGGCTCCGAGCGCAGCGTATGAGGCGGTAAGCTGAATCTTCCGGAAAATGTCGAACAAGCTGACACGTCAGTGAACAAGCAGAGTCCGATCTCCAGTTCCTCGGCTTCATCGTCTTCGAGAACAAGCTCAAGCCCAACACTGCGCCCAACATCCATACCCTTCGTGCCGCTCACCTCGCATGCCGGATGGTCACTGGCGATAACGTCCGGACCGCCATCTCCGTCGCTAGGGAGTGCGGTCTCGTCTCGCACTCTGCTTCCGTCTACATCCCAACATTCGTTCCTGGGACGGGCACCGGCGAAGGCGCCAGCCTTGACTGGGCTAGCGTCGATGATGAACGAAGCAAGCTGGACGAGTACACCCTCAAGCCGGTCGTACACGAGACGGAGGGACTAGGCGTCGACGCTGGCGAGATGGATATGAATGATTATCAGCTGGCGCTGACGGGAGACGTCTTCAAGTGGATGTTGGACTTTGCCGAGTTGGAAACTATGGAGCGGGTAAGCTATGGCGTCTCCGTCGTCCGGAGAATAAGCTGACACGCCAGATGCTCGTCAAGGGAGTCATCTTCGCCCGGATGTCGCCAGACGAAAAGGCTGAACTGGTCGAAAGGCTCCAAGGACTCGGATATACCGTCGCGTTCTGCGGAGATGGAGCAAACGACTGCGGGGCCCTCAAAGCTGCCGATGTGGGCGTGTCGCTTTCTGAGGCGGAAGCGAGTGTGGCCGCGCCGTTCACGAGTCGGATTCCGGACATCAGCTGTATGGTCGAGATCATCAAGGAGGGGCGGGCGGCGCTTGTCACCAGTTTCAGCTGCTTCAAGTACATGTAAGTGTTTCCGACATTGTGGTAGGGACAGAGGCTGATGAGGTAGGGCACTGTATTCGATGATTCAGTTTACGACTGTAACGCTGTTGTACTCGTTCGCGTCTAGTCTTGGCGACTTCCAGTGAGCTTCAGGTTACTCGGTCAGCCGTGTGAAGAAGCTCATTGCCCAGATTTCTCTACATCGACCTCTTCGTCATCATCCCCATCGCGGTAGCTATGGGCCGGACCCTCCCTTTCCCCAAGATCCACCCCAAGCGCCCGACTGCATCCTTGGTCTCGAAGAAGGTGTTGACCAGTATCATTGGGCAGATCGCCATCAACTCGGTTGCGCAGATCTTTGTGTTTATCTGGGTCAGGCAGCAGTCTTGGTATGTCCCATCTGTTGGCAGTGGGCGCACAAGGGCTGACGCGTCAGGTACACTGCCCCCGATGTCAACAGTGACAAGCTCGAGACGTTCAATTATGAGAATACCGCCCTCTTCTTGTTGTCATGCTTCCAGTACATTCTCGTAGCTGGCGTATTCAGCGTGGGCCCGCCATACCGCAAGCCCATCTACTCGAACAGTGAGTTGCATCTCTGCAGCATAGGAGAGCATCAGCTGACGCCTTAGTCTGGCTTATGATCTGCCTAATCGGCTTAGGCGGTTTCAGCACCTACGTCCTCCTCGCCCCTACCGCCTGGATCGCCAACATCCTGGATATCATCGATCTCCCCTTTTCCTTCCAACTTCAACTTTTGGCCGTCGCTATTGTCAACATCATCCTCTGCTTTGGGTTTGAGCGGTACGCTGAACGACCGATCGCGCGGGTTATTGCGTATACGAAGCGGGCGTGGAGGAGGCGGACGAATGGAGGGAGGCGACATGGAGGGGAGGTGCAGTATAAGATTATCGAGGGGAACATGCGGTAGTACTAGTGCGTATACCCCGATCTGCGGGCTATGCAGGTGTAGGTATGCTCGTGCGCCGTGCGTGCGGACTGGTTTGGACTGACGGGCTTTGATTTGACGGAAAGGAGCTTAGCTTAAGGTCAGTAGTCTCCGGATTGGGCCCTTTCGGTTGCGAAGGAGGCTTTCTGATTGACTACCCCTGCCAACGGAGGCTTTGCTGACAACTCTTACAAGTCCAGGGGTAGCGTGATCCCAGGTCATGCTCCGTTTCACCCTTCTTTGAAGATGATTACCGGACCCGACTCCGCTCAAGAACTTCTTCACATCACGCTGCGCTATAGCAAGATCCGGACTTCGCCTATTGATCTCCGCTCAGAGCACCTATGTCGACCTTTATCATCGATGACTCGAAGTGGGACACACCGCGCCTCTCACTCTCGCCAGGATGGAATATGCTGGGTCCTGATGCGAAGAAGGACCACATCCTTGATCCAGTAAAAGCCAGCAAGATGCGTGCCGTCTTGTCCCAATTCCGGGGGCAGACAGTCAGCTGGACTACAGCGCAGTACTCCTCCAGCGAGATCAACTTCAACGGTGAGACGTTTCACTATCAGCTCACCGCATCGGGCACCGGCTGACGAGCAGGGACTGGGATAGACGTATGGGGCCTAGCCGGACCCGCGCAAGGCGTCTTCTCCGCTGTACTCGACAGCAAGCTTCTTGGCGGGTACAATGCATATAACGACGTCGACCGGCGCGTTGTGCTCTTCTCGATAAAGGGGTTGGCGCCGGGACAGCATAATCTGACGATGATCAATCTGGAAGGAGGGAAGGCGTTGACGCTGGACTATGCCGAGGTGCAGACTGGAGTGGCCGGCGCGGTGTTGACCGCCTCGTAAGCTCTACCTTCTATCCCAGGTCAAGTAGCGAGGGGATGCTGATCCGAAAGGTCAAGCTCGGCCGCTTCGTCCACTGTCTCTTCAGCTTCGCATTCCTTCTCGACCTCTTCTCGCCTTCTCCCAGCTACTTCGGTATTCCCCACCGCGGATTTCGCTGCCAGTCAGCCTGCGCCCACCCTTTCAGCAGCATACAGCCTATATGAGTTCGCTTGGACCCCGCTCGTCATCTTTTCAGTCGCATTCGGCGGATTCATCCTCCTCCTCTCTATTCTCGGTACCCTCTACCTCTTCCTTCGTAGACGCGGTCCCCACACTCCGAGCGCAAACGACCGCTTCCCTGGTGAAGTCGTATGCCCAGACTCGGAGTCCACATCCACAGTCCGGCCGGTTGGGGGAGTGAAGTTGGGAAGGAGACGGACGTTGATGGAAGCGCTAAGGGCGAGGCGGATCGGAGCGCCTAAGTTGGTAGATGCACCTGTTGTGCGAGACTTCAGGATGGACAGCGATGGGTCCAGGAGGAAGGTGGACGATGCGGTGGGTGTCAAGGATGGCGAGTGGGATGTCTGAGCGCTGAGGTGTTTGAGTGGTACTTAATTAGGGCTTATCAGACACTCCTTCCCGTTAGTCCGCCCGAGCTTGTAGGGCAGATCATACATCCTATAGCAAACTAAGTTACGTCCTTAATATACTTTCTCGGCCCGGCGCCTCGCTTACAACTGATACTTGAACCCAGCCTCGATCTGGACGCGCGTAGGTCCGTTGATGCCGAGGTCCTCGCCACGCTCGATCCTGCGGTTCTGGCGACGAAGGTACCAGAACGTGAGAGCAGCAGCGAGGACGACACCCACGCTAGCAGCAAGGTCGACGGAGAAGGCCAAGATGTACCGCGGCTGGTCAGAGTAGAGGTAACTGGATATCAGCGATGCCCAACATGACTCCAGCTCGTTACCGGCTCACCTCGTCCAGATGTTGGGGGTATTACAGATCGAGTTGATCAATGCGTAGACGATAGCGCGCTTGACGTGGGGTCCGGTGATGGACGAGCTAATCCACGATAACACGACGATTGAGGCAGAATAGAAGGACCCCGGCAGGAGCATCATGGCGGTGTACCGAGCGGCGGTGTTGGTAGTGGAGACAGCGATGACGTTTGCGATGATGGTAACCAAGAAGGGACAGATGATGTGGAGAGTTCGCTCTTGCTTCTTATCAGAGTGCCAGCCGTTGATGGTGATGGCGACAACGCAGAGGAGGTAGGGAGGGGCGGTGATGGCAAGAGTGACGGTTCGGGAGAATCCAAGACCACCGACCACTGTAGCTTCAGCTTGATCATTAAGCAGCGAGTATGATGAGCTCACCGATTGGGAAGAAGTTGGTGACCGAGGCAGCGATCTGGTCGAGTCAGCCCTAGCATCCACAAACAAACGATCATGAAGAACACACGTAGTTCATCTGCAATACCAAGCACAGCAGCCAAGTCTTGGGATCGCTGAGGGCAAGCCAGAAGGCCTTGCCGACGCCAAGCTCGTCTGTGGCGTCCTTGGAGGCTCGATCGACTTCCAGACGGTACTGAAGCTGTGCCTTCTCCCGCTCGTCAAGCCACTTAATGTTTCTGGGGGTGTTGGGCATCCAGAGCATGAAGATCAAGCCGAGACCGACGGTCATTGCGCCCTCTGCTCAATCAGCGTTGGTCCCAAGGACTGACTGACAGAGCGAGGACTCACCAACGATAAAGAGCCATCTCCAACCAGAAAGTCCATTCGTACCGTCCAAAGTCAGAATGGCGAGGGCGAAAAGACCGCCGAAGGCATTTCCGACCTGGGAGCCAGAGTAGAGAATGGCGGTGCGGAGAGCCATCGCCTTCTTTTCGTAGAACAGCGAGAGGAGGAAGATGGCGCCCGGAAACTGATCATCAGCCGCATCCCTCAAGCCTTTGTCGAGACAACTCACGAAGGCAGCCTCGGTAAAGCCAAGGATAACTCGGCAGATAACCAGGCCAGCGTAGCTGGTGACCGCGCCGGTGCACCCGGAGACAAGCCCCCATGCACAGCACATACCGCTATCAGGTAAGTTTGGATCGCGCGTGCAGGCTTGCATGACATACCAAATGTAGATACCTGGCCATTTGATCTTGGAGACAATCATGTTGGAGGGGATCTGTACATCAGTCGCGAACTTGTTGTCAAAGCTAACCCAAAGAACGAACCTGTAGAGCCACATATCCGGCAAAAAGGATGGCTACAGCGGTCTGGTACTGTACAGCAGACATTCCAAGCTGTACATCGATGAAAGCGAGCTTAGCGCTGGCTATATTCTGCCTGTCGAGGTAGTTGAGCTAGCCGGGAATCAGCGCGTCCCGTGTGAGCCTGGGGGATAACTCACGATGTAAAGGCAGACCAAAGTCGGCATGAGAAGAATGTCCAGCTTCCTCGTGGTTCTCTTGTCGATCGCAGCGATCTCCTCATCTGACAGGCCCTCGAGAATTGCCGGCTTGGTGATAGCCAAGTGCCGGTCGACACCATCATCGTGTTCCGTCTTGCCCAATCCAGGCTCGCCAGCGAGCGAGGCATGGTCGGCATCGTACTTTTCGTCGTCGAGGCGGGACATTTTGCTGATTTCTGCTGTGTGCGGAAGAGGGGTAGATGGGGAAGAGGTGGAGCTCCTCTGGGAACCCCATCATATGTAGCTGGGGCTCGACGGACTCGTTAGGGTGAAAAATGACCAGTTCCGCAAGCCACGTCTACCCGCGATTTGCCGCCGGACCCCGGTCCGGAGCGGAGTGAGAGTTTATCCGGTTCTCGGCAGTGTTTCATAATTGTCAAGGAATGCTGTCAGTTTCAGGGTTCTTAGCGCTATCTGAACCGAGCGTCGCGGCAACTACTGGCATCTACCGGCTCGATGCTGCTCTATGTATCAGCCATGTCTCCCCGATCGCTGCGTAGCCTCCTCCGAGGAGCTACAATCCGAGCCCATTGTCCGCACTGCCTGCTTGGGCCGGCTCGTACCGCTGTATCCGCCGCACTGGAGCGCAATCAATGTTCGATACACCGATCGGGACGCTCGGGAAGTCGCTGATAGTCCTCCAGCCCGCGAAGGCGCTTATCCTCTTACCAACACTCAGACAGGCAAGACCACACCCATGCAATTCTAGATATCTACAAAATAAGAAGAGCCAATCACAATTTTGTCGGACCCCTGATGACAAAGCTTCCCGTCCCGCTATTTCCCGGCAGACCCATCACTATCCGCGCTGCTGGACTCGTGAGGTCATCAAAGTCGCCATGGAGTGTCGCCTCGGAAAGGAACGCGACGGTCGTTTCGAAAGAGGCTTTGAGGAGGGGGGATGATTTGTGTGAGATACCCGTCCGGTTGAAGGGTCTGTATCCGCCGGCATGGGTCTGTATATTAGCTTAGTCCAGCCGGATCAGAGATTCTGACTTACCATGTAGTCCGCAATGATAGTCAAATGACGATAGTCTACCGCGATACCGTACGCGCCGAAAACATTACCCATCTCCTCGATGATGGCTCGGCGTGCGGCCTCAACACCATAAGTTTGGAGAATGGCGTAAATGTCGTTCGAGCCGAGCATGTCGAGATCGACGTGCTCATCGGCCATGGACCACATCCCGCGGAGGTTGGAGCCTTCAGTGATGAGGTTGCGCTAGATATCAGCTAGCTCCTCCCTCCTAGCAGCGACGATACTCACTGTAAACTTCCCCTTATCGTCGTAGATCCGCATGCACCTCCCGATATTCTCCACCTCGTGCACCACCGCTCCCCTACAGCACCTCTCCACGATATCCACCAGGAGCAGCTTGGGCATGTTGGCCGCAAATTCGAGGTCGAACTGCGCCGACTTGCCGTTGATGGTATCAAAGCTAAAGCTCGTCGCCCATTTACAGCCCATTTTGAACGCGTCGACGAGGGCGTCCGCCTGCGCGTCGTCCTTTGCCTTTTGCTCCGGGTCGATATCGAGGTCATCATCCACCTCCTCATCGTCATTCATCAACGCCTCGACATTGTCCTCCATGTCCCCCATGTCCACATCCCGCTCGTCCGCGTCATACTCGGGCGCGTTGGCTTGTGCGATCCGCTTGGCCTCGCCCGCATCCCCATCGTCGTCGTCCATCTCCTCCAGTTCTTCATCCCCTCCCCGGCGCTTGCTCCTCGGTTCCTCCCCATCTTCATCCTCTGCGAGATCCCCACCCCGAACTTTGAGCCCCTTGCCCACCTTCGTATCCTGCTCGATAGCCTTGGACGCGTTCCGAAGCTCCAGCAGAATCTCCTTCTTCAGCCGCCCGGCAAAGCTGAACGCGAGCGACTCGTGTAGTTGCGTCTTGGTGATTCCGTACTCGGACGTGTATTCCTCGGCGGGGTAGAAGTCGAGCAAGACCGTGTACTTGCGTTGTCGGGCACCGTTCGCCTCCATCTTCCGCCCGGACAGGAGCTCCGTTACCTCGACCCGCTCAACCACCTGGGAAAGATTGAGCCGCGAGACCTCCTTGATGAAGGCGTCTGTAGACGATTCGGCGGTAGTCTCGCGCAGAGGGAGCTTCATGGTGGGTGTGGTGGGTTTGGCCGAGGCGGTCATGACGATTTCTCGAAGACGCGGAATACCGAGGGTGACGTTGGCGGCGCCGTGACCGGCCAAATGGAAGGTGTTGAGTGTCATTTGGGTGGAAGGTTCACCAACACTGCCATGTCAGCTGTATGGCTAGCGCGGGGCACTGGTCGACTCACCCCTGAGATGCCAATAACCCAACAGCCTCTCCTGGCTCTACCAAACTCCTCAAATACCTCATCCTACTCGCCTGCAAGAACGCCTTCCTCCCCACCTGCTCCTTCTCGCTGACATACGCGCTCCTGACCGGATCCCGCCCCTCCTTCGCCTTGGCCGCGATGAACCCGAACCGATTTTCATCGATCCACTGATTCAGCTTCCGAGCGTACGACTCCGACATGGAACCGAGGTAACGCGAGGGCGAGTACATTGAGAGCGCCGGCTCGTACTTTTCCGGCTTCTTCAGCGCCTTCTTCATATGATCCACCGCCTCATCCTGGACGAGCTTGGAGTAGATGGCCCGAGGGTCGTATTTCTGGATGAGGGATTCGTGGTTCCGGGCGGCAAAGTTGAAGTCGAGCAGATGTTTTTGCTTGGTGACGTCCAGCGAGTCCTCGCCGTATAGGAACTGCAGAACCGACGAGTCCGAGTCCCGGACGGTATGGTCGTAATGGACCTTGACACCCTCGAGGTGCTTGATCAAACACCGTTGGAGGTATCCAGACCGAGAGGTCTTGACCGCGGTATCGATCAGACCCTCTCGTCCCGCCATGCAGTGGAAGTAGTACTCCTGCGGCCGAATACCCGTCAAGAATCGGTTGGCGACGTACCCACCGGCCCGGGCGGACGTATCGAACGCCTTGAAACTGGGGAGCGTCTTGCCGGACACCATGGTGGGTACGCGCCGGCCCTCGAGCGCCTGCTGGCCGAGCAGCGTCGAAATTTGGGAAGCATTGACCTTGGACCCCTTGGCGCCCGAGATGGTCATGGTCTGCATGTTGTTGTCGGGGAAGGGACGGACGAGGTGGGCGGGGAGGACGACGTTGTTGATCTCCGAGGTGGTCTTGTTGAAGGCAGACTGCATGGCGGCATCGAGACCCGCCATGAGATTGTCATCTCGCAGCGTCTCTTCCAGCCGATTTGCCAGGTTCTTGGCAGTAGACGGGTCGGTGATCCGGGACGAGTCGGGAAGGCCGACATATTTGATCGCGGTGACGGCTCCGTTGTTGGCTGCCCGATCCAGGATCTCCTTCCGCACCCGCTCGCCTTCGGCAGTGAGGATGAGGTCGTCCATCCTGCACGAGAAGGCGTTGTGTTGGAGGTACTTGGTCAGGACCCGGGAGAGGACCGAGAGAAGCCTATTGGCGAGCATTGGGCCGTACAGCTCATGCACCGAGTGGACGAGACCGAACGCCGAAGCACCGTATTGCGACTTGTCGAGGACACCGCATATGAGGTGGCCATCCAGGAAGATGACGTTCTCTTCCGACAAGACCGGGTCAGTCGACTTGTCCCGGCCCCACAAGTGGTTTTGAACCTTGTTCTTCGAGTTGAGGTTCAGACCGCGAGCGTTGTCAGGAGTGATATTGAGCATGATGGTGGAGAACTGATCATCAGCTATCATCACCTAGACCTAGGTCGCTGACTCACAATCTGTTTTCCCGTCCAAAGCGGCTTTGGCTTGAAAATAGCAGGCGCCAACGTCTTGATCCTCCCTCCACCCGTATAATTGTCCTCTGACCGCAGTGCCCCGTAGATGAGCTGGAAGTACTCTTCCCGAGTGAAGAAGGTCGACTTGTTGCACATCCATACTCCAGCAACGACGTGGTCTTGGATGAGACCTCGAAGGGGATTTCCGGACGTCGGGGTGAGGTACTGATTGTCGGTATTGGCGATGTAGTTGGATTCTGCGCGAGCATTCTCGTTTTCTACTTCATCAGCTGGTGGTCCATAGCATGAGCGGTTGACTTACGAGGAAAGTGGATATTCATCTCGTCTCCGTCAAAGTCGGCATTGTACGAGTTACTACACAGTCAGCTTGATTACACTCATTCCACGCTTGCAGCTTACCAGTTGGCGTAGTGCATCCTGATCGTCTTCTCCCCTCTCAACACCTTGACCTTGTGCGCCATCATACTCGGCTTGTGCAGTGTCGGCTGGCGGTTGAGGATGACAATATCCCCATCATGAATATGACGATACACCTTCTTGTTCTTCGCGGGTGAGCCGAAGGATGAGGATGCGCCGTAGCTGTCGGTCTGCGGGGTGAGAAGCTGGTTGGCGATGGCGGTACGCTGTTCCAGGGTCATACGATCCTGATGACATGAGCTACTGTTCTTGCAGGATCGGAGGTCTTTCAAGCTCACGAGAGATATCTGCGAGCCATTCTCATACTCGACGATAGCTGCTCCAGGGTGAATCTTTGGCCCGTTGATGACCAGCGCCCTCAGATGCGCGACATTCGCCTGGGTGACGGGTTCGGGATAGGTGAGCTTCGTCGCGAAGACTGGTGGGATTCCAATCTCGTTCGTCTCAATATTGATATCTGGCGAAATGACAGATCGAGCGGCGTAGTTGACACGTTTACCCTGAACGTCAGCTTGGCTCCAATAAGCACAGTGTATAGCTCACCATCATGTGCTTCCGGAACAACCCCTCCTTCTTCTCCAAGACCTGCTTGACACCCTGCGGCGGCAACTTGCCCTGCTTCATGACCGCCGGGTTCTTCGAGCTGTCCATGAAGCTATTGACATCATGCTGAAGCTTGATCATCGCCTCCAGCATCTGCTCAAAGACCCTCCGTCCGTCCCCCTTCGCCGCCGACGCCAACGTCTCCTCGACGTCGTCCGCGTTCTCGATCTTGTGGAGATCAGACAGCCGCTGATTAAGCTCCTGTATCCGCCCCGAAGTGGTGATGACGACGGTCAGAAGCGAGTTTTGCGAGTTTTCGAAGAGGTCGTCCCCCATTCTCGCGGCGGGGCGGAAGCGGGTAGGGGAGACGGGAACGACTTCGAGGAAGAACATGTCGGCGAGGGGAACGTGCGCGGCCGAACCGGATGGAGCGCCGTGTCGACCGTAGACCAGCTCGCACATTGCCGCTTCTTTGATGAAGAGTAGTCGGAGGTGTGCGCGGACCTCGGCGGGGGAGACCACCCGCTCGTTTCGTCCCCTCGCCCCCTTGACCTGCCCACTTGCCGTCCGAGCCACCTGGCCGCCTTCTCCCTCGTCCTCCTCTTCCTCCTCGTCTTCGTCATTCTCCTCCGCCTGTGAGCTGCTCCCCGAGGAGCTCGCGCTGCTCATCTCGATCCCTTCGTCCAAATCCTCGTTGAACTCCTTCTGCCCTTTCCGCCCCAGTCCGCCATTTTCGAGAACCGTCCGACGCTTTCGCCCGGCTGCGGCGTTCGCGAGCTTCTTCTTTGGGTCCAGGTCGTACTCGATGATCTTGATCGCCTTTTCTTTCCGGAAAGTATAGGCGTGACTGTCTCGTCAGCTCCCCTTCTACCATCCAACAGGAATACTCACGCTTGACACCGCATACACTTCTTCCAGCCCACACAAGCCTTGACGAACTCGGCCAACAGCGCCTTTCGCTCCTCATACACCAGCCCATCCTTGTACTCATCCTTCCCACCCGCTCCTTGCCGCCTCGCCGTAGCCAGCGCCCCATTCGTGAACTTTTCCACGCGGAAGATGAATTCAGCTGCTGTTTCCGCTGGGATTTCCGGACCGTCTTCTTCGATATCCTCGCCCTCCCCTTCAGCCCCTTCGGCGCCCGTGCGAGATGCACCAGAAGGCGTCAGCTGACCAATCAGGTGGGCAGCTTCGATCAGACCGGCATCGAGGAGCTTGATTCGAGCAGCGTATTTGCGCACCTACCGCGTCAGCTGATTGCCCCGGAAAGCTAGGTGCAGTCCAGCTTACGAGCATCTCTGGCATCCTGTACCTGTGGCAGAACAGACAGACGCCCCGGAACAGCGAATATGCCTGTTGCATGAACAGCGGATGGAACACCGGGATAGGCAGCTCGATGTGCCCGAAATGACCGGGACATTGGAAGTAGGACAGATTACACGTCTCGCAGCTATCACATCAGCCTCCATTTCCTGGCCCGTTTCCAAATGCGGCTTACATATCCTTCCCGCTCATAGGCCCAAGCTTGGGATCATACAGCCCTCCCCTATTTGGCAAGTTCAAGTTGTCGAGCAAGATCGGGTTATCCACCTTCTGGACCGAGATTGACCGGACATCCTCGGTCGTGAGAAAGGTGAAGGAGAGGGAGGAGATCTCGGACGAGAGGGGGCTTCCGATGTCCATGGTGGGCTGAGCGGGTTGTGCCCCTCTGTAGCTGTGATGTGCTTAGTAGATGCAAGAGATGGATGGTTGTGAAGGGCTTCGTTTGGGTGAGAGCGGGGAAATTTATCCAGTGTACGTAAGCACTTTTGGGTCGGTCAAGCATGTTACCGGCGCGCTCTATTTGTGCGAGAGGATCAGCATCTTCTGACATCTATCTACCGCAAGTGAACCGCCCGGGGCATACTTGAATCTAATTTCAGCAGAGGAGGAGACATAGTTCGCCTCCATCCGACTTCAAGCGGGAAGAACGGTCCATTATCGCCTGAAATCGAGCCGAACACTTGACCGACATCGGCGAGATCGCGTGACGGCCTCGAGATGGAAGGGGGTGCTATCGACGCGTATGTCCTGCTCGTTGGCATCCTGGTGACCTGGGATGGATGATGGAGCCGTACTGATGTGTACAGCCACTTTCACCGGGCGGTCGATATTGTCCAAGGGTGAGCTTCCCCGTGATTGTTATTGTTATGGAAGAGGGACCCAGCTGACGACTCCAGATTGCCGAAGGGCGGTCCTGTCCAGACGAGCTATGAGGAGAAGCTATGGCTGTACTCGCTATACAAGCAGGGTGAGCTTCCGTGTTCGGACGCTCATGCGAAGTAGACGACGGCTGACCTTCGCAGCGACTGAGGGGGATATCACCGTTGCAAGACCAGGAATGCTAGATATGCTTGGGCGGTCCAAGTGGTCCGTCATCCCCCGGTATCCCTCGAGCTCAGCTGATGAGATAGGGACTCGTGGAACAAGCAAAAAGGCAAACGGAAGGACTCGGCCAAGCAAGAATACATCTCGGCCCTGCTCAAGGCTCGTCCTCTAGTCAACTAAGTCACCTTGCGATTTTCAGCTCATCTCCAGATCCTGAAGAAACACGCCGACCGCCCAGCCTGCGCTGCCCATATTGCCGAGCTCGAACCAAAGTCTTCCAAGCATACCCGCCGGCCCCGAGCGCGTTCGACATCCTCATCCTCCTCTTCGTCGTCATACCACTCCTCCCAGGCTTCTCCTCCTCCTTCACCACCGCGGTACAGCTCTTACCCCCCTCCGGACCCTTCTTTACCCGTACCGGACGTCGCGCCGCACATCGTGCCCCCATCAGCGCTGACATCGAGTCACAAGTCCCTTCTGAGCCTGGCGCAAGCACGGAGTCCGCCTTCCGGGTTGGAAGCGCCTGCCGCTAGCGAAGCTGGAAACTCGCGCTCCGGGCGCGTGTCGGGACGGGGAGTATTGCCTTATACTGCAGCTTCTGGGTCTAGAGCGCACAGCCTTATAGGTGGACAAGGAGGGAGTTCGGATATGCCATTCGCGTATGGCCGGACCAACTCGGTCCATTCCTTCCGACCTCGGCAGGGTCAAAGTTCGACCGCCGGACTTGGCTTTATGCCTCCTCCTGCAGAACCAGGAGAGTACCTCACTCCCCAAGTCATCCAGCGGGACTTTACGCCCGCACTCACATCCACCGGAACCCCTTATCTCGACATGCACCATCCCACACCCATCTATCCCAGCAACCCCCATCGGCGGATCGGGACCCCTTCGACCTACTCTGCGCCGCCCATCAATGTCCCTGCTACCCTGCAACAAATCCAGACATCCCTCCTTGCTATCAGTGAGCGGATGAATCATCTCGAGCGGAGCCAGGCGATGATTCTGCGCAGGGACGAGAGGAAGCGGACGTGGTTTTGGACAAGTAGGGATGAGGATGATTTAGACGAGGCGGAGGATGAGGCAGAGAGGGAAAGATTGGCGAGGAGAGGTGCAGGGCCAGAAGTGAGGACGGCGGTCAGCCAGAGGAAGAGGAGAAGGTGGAGTTTGAGGCTGGTGTGGTGGTTGCTGGGATTGGGAAGAAGGCTGGCGGTAGATGCGGGAGTGGGGCTACTCGTGGGGATAGCGGCGATGATGATTGTCCGGGGATGGAGGGGAGATATGGGTCGGAGGGTCAGAACGACATTACGAGGTTTACTGGAGGGTGTATAGCGAGGGAAATAGGAGAATGCAAACGATCGAATATTGACTCCTAGAGCTTCTTTCGCTGAAGGCTGCTATAATTGCCCTCTCCTCTACATCTCATTCCCCTCTCCTACCTTTCCCTCACCGCCTCTCCCCCTTCCCGCCTCCCATCTCCTCTCTCCTCCCTGCCCACCTCCTATTTCCTCCCTCTAACCCATTACGCTCGTTCCAAACCCCGCGGTGATAGGGAAGGATGGCTAGGTCCGTCCCTTTGAGCGCGAGGGGCTTGGCACGAGCGCACCCCTACACCTCTCCCCCGCAATATCCTTTTCCCATACTCCTCCACATCAGAGGTTGACATCGTGCACTTTCAAACAAATGATCCAGCTGAGACTGATGCTCGTGTCGCCCAAAACCTATATACACCGCTCTAAGTACCCCTCTCAACCTCATTCCAGTTCTCAGAAGAACCGCCACCATATAAAGAGAATCATAAACAGCCCTATTCCGCCCACCGGTGCCCACTTCCTTAATAACAGCTCGAGGTTGATATTCCGCGCCGCTTTCCGATACTTTGCCGATTCTGACCGCAACGATGTCGAAAGATGCGACATGCCTATCTGATAAGCTCCCTATCCTATCTCCTAGAACAGCCAGCTCACGGTCCAAGCTATCTCCTCGCCACAGCAGATCCTCCATATTCTTCGTCATGATCCGCGTCACGTCCTGCAGATTCTCATTCAGCTGGTCGAGCTGAGATGGGGGTGCGGAGCTCCCGCCTGCGCCTTGTGTGAGGGTTCGAGAGTCTTTATACAGGCGTGTCGTCTTCGAGATAAAGGTGTCTAGGAAGTCAGCTCCTGATGCGATCGACAAGGGAATGCTTCGGGCAGCTCACCGAACCCCATGAACGCATACGGCCGTGTCACACCCTCAATCTTCCCCTCATAACTCCGCTGGAACTCCTTGCTCAGCTCGTCGAGGTATGAGAACGCCAATTTCCGCGGATATGACGAGTCACAGATACACATATAGATGACCTTCTCGACGATAAGGTAGCTGAGACGTCAGCTTCCTCCCCGCATTACGCAGCGGTCTAGGTGGCGGAGAGCTCACTGTAAGGTGTATTGCCCTGATTCTATCGAGCACGCCGGTTCGCTATTGGCATTCAAGCGTCGGAAGACCAATTTCGACTGTTGCTTGTACTCCGTCAGAGCTTTCTCTGTCTTTCAGTGTCAGCTATAGCCCAACTCTAGGTGAGCGCGAAGGGACCGACGCTCTCGTCGTCAACACTAGCTGCGAGCGGGAGGGCGTCGCTGACGCGGAAGATTGTTGTTGAGCGGACCATTGCGCGCGTGAGTCTCTGTCTGAGGTGCTTGACAGATGGGACGAGGAAGATCGATTCTAAAGGTGACGTGCGTGTTGTAAGTATAGTTGAAGCATACCTCGCTGCGACACGTCGAGGTGGACATCCTCTTAGGTGGGCGGAGTAGATATAGGTGGAGGTCGCCCGAGCCCAGAAGAGACTACCAGCACCGACGGTGCAACTATGGCTCCATGCTCCACCAATTGCTGACACTAGAATGCCCTGAAAGGGTCAGCAAGCAGCATGAGTGGATCGCCAGATGAGCAAGAAACGCTCGACAAGCTCGATACCGAACTTGAGCTCATCGAGGCGTCTTTGCTCCCGGTCGAATCGCTCTCGTCTTCCGCTCGGGATAGTCTACCTCGGACGATCGATATGTCGAGCACTGACAGCCAGCTACGTATATCGATCAATGTCTCTCAAGGATACCCTGGTCGGGATGCGGTAGTGATGGAAATCAAGGGAGCGGATATAGGGAGAGATGAGGCGGAAGAGTGGAAGACGAAAGTCGAGGGGATGATGCAGGAATGGGACGATGAGTCCGAGTAAGTCATGCCAGCCGAAGCCTTCACCGGCACATCATGAGATGTATCTGAGACTCTAGTACACCACTCTACACGATCATGACGACCCACTTCCTCCCTCTCCTCTCCATTCCACGATCCCTATCCTCCGCGAGCCCAGACGATGCTACCCCACCCAAACCTACACCGATGCCCCACCATGCCCTCATTGTCACACACCACCTCCTCTCGCCCACAAAACGCAAGCTTCTTATCCAGCTCTCGTCCGAACTCAATCTCGTCGGGTTTTCAAAGACCGGCCATCCTGGCATCTTGTACGCCACAGGGGATAAGGAGGATATTCAAGAATGGCTGGTCCAGGTCAAATCATGGAACTGGCTCGCTCTGAAAGTCAGGATTGCGTGTGAGCCTGTACCCGAGTATAAGGATGACAGGACCGCAACTGCGGGAGCTGGAACGGCGATGGGAGGGGAGCAGGCTAAGGGGGAAGGGGGGAAATCAAGGGGGGATTGGGTAGAATTAGATAAATTGTCGGATTCTCTCGAGTGGATGCGGAACATAGGGAGAGAACAGCTTTTGATAGATGCGGGAGTGGGGTCTTAGCTAGCTCAGTCGCGCGATATGAAAGCGAGTCGAGCTTGGAGAAACCTGAAACGCCCCTCAAACAGACGCACGGACTGCCAACTCCGCATTCCTTACCCCGGATAAACAATTATCCGCCGGCTGCTCGTTGAGCTCCAGGCGAGCTGCAGACCGCTTCCTTCCTCTCTTCCCTCTCCCTCCCTTTCCTAGTACATATTTTGCTCGACAACAAAGACAACGTCACCACCAGCAGATGGAGCAGGCATATGGTGTAGTCGGGGACCTGCCGTACGCGATGTTCAAGCACTACGCGCGGCATCGGAGATTCCCTCACATCGCGTACACCGAGCATCACATCGCGGTTGTGAGTCTACTCTACAGCAATCACCCATTAGCATCCACCGGAGACTAGATCAGCCATCATCAGCTGGACTCCAGCGCAGCACGTGATCGTCTCGCTGACACATCAGACGCTCGAAAGCGCTGCAAGACCTTTCGACTTCTTCAACCACCCCTTCTACCCCGACTTCTTCACCTCTGATCCCGCCGCCGAGCTGCACGCCCTCCTCTCTGGCCATATAGATCCGTCAGATCGACATGATCCAGTTAACGAGAAGCTGCCGGTGACTCAGGGGACTGTCGACTTTCTGCGAAAATCAACGAAGAAGGGCAAAGGGAAATCATTAGCGGAGGCGGCGGCGTTCCTGAAGAGAGGGGATGAAGGTCCGTCATAGCGCCGTTCAATTCGCATCAGTGTATCGTCAGGGAAGTATGAGCTGATCTACAGTGGACCCCTACCCCAAGCGATCACGTCCGATCAGGACACTCCTCACCATGAAGGCCTTATCCGACATCGCAGCCAGAGGTCAAACTCCCCCTCTTCCTGCCCGTCCAGCCGACCTTTCCAACTCAGACAACAAGCACCACCTCTCGTTGGACGGTGGACCGCCGGCGGAACTCAACGATAAGCTAGATGTCGATACCATCCTGTCAGTTTATCGTTTCTCGCTCCAATAGCGCACCGCTGACTTCCAGTGAGCTCAAACCGCGAATGACAGCCACTCAAGCTGCGGGGCTCATGAATGCCAGAACTCGGATAATCGAGGGCATGAGGAAGTCGAAAGAGAGGGCTGGAGCGACCGTCAAGGATGCAGCTATATGGAAAGAATGGGATGAGGAGTACGAGAGGAGGTCAAAAGTGAAATATACCCGTATCCAAAACGAGCAGCGCTTATGCTCCAGAACATACCAAGACCTATACGCCCTCCTCTGATGCCCCTGCTACACGAGCCGTACATCAAGCTTCGACCTGTATCATCCGCCCCAGCCGCGAAAGAGGAATGCGGAGTCACTGGAAGGGAGGAGCTACGGGATATGCTGGGGCTGAGTGTCGATGATTCCAGACCAGCAGATGGGCGAGAGAAAGAGATGGAGCTATACGATTGTAACCGGGCGATACTCGGTCTAGAAGGTGAGAGTATCCGCTAGGTGCTAGGACTCAAGAGCTAATTGGATAGCGTCTCCTTTCGACTCGCGGCCGGCTCCAAACTCGCATCAAACAAGGACGATACCTCGGGGCGGACAATGGCCGCGGACCAAGGCCCAGACGAGTTGGGATCGGGAGGTCCAGGAAGGCGAGCTCGCCATGACGCGACCCGCGGCACTGGCCAAGCTGATCTTTCAGGCCACCTTGAGCCAATCACGCCACTCGTCGTCCCTCATCATCTTCCTCCAGCCCCGCCGTGCTTCGATATGCGCCGTCCGAATTTGGCCTATCAACGGCCGAATCACAGGGATGATATGGACTGCGATGTCGTGCAAGGAGAAGACGGCGTGTATTATAAAAGGTGGCCAGATGGGAAGATGAGGTCGTATCAGACGGATGTGCAGCAGGCTCGGGGGGACTTCCGGGACGTGAGAGACTTTGCTTCTCAGTACGGCCAAGAGCCTGTGCGTACCCGTCCTGACCTGGCTTGCAATAGCTTATCATCAGGTCTACCAAGCGCAAGCACAAGATGACGCACATCCCGGCGACTACCGCAGTCCACACGCCCAGTTCGACGAGCGCCCACCCGAATACGTCTGGGCACAGTCCGGACATTGGCGCGGGAGCCAGTCGGGCCGGGTCCGGCATGACGGAAGCGTACCTACCAGCCGAGAGCTCTCCAGTGTCGAAGCCGCCATCGATATCGCGCCGGACTACATGAACTCGCCGGTACTTTCCGCTCTCGATCCTAATTCCCATCGCCGGAACGGCGTTTCACAACCATCGACCGGTCCGGCCGATCCTGGTCTTGCTCTAGCGAGCAAGAAAGCCGTCAAGCGCCGCCTGATGACCAATGTTGACCTCAATGCTATAGTAGCCAAGCGAGCAAAGCTCGACGTCGTCGACCCAGCGAAAGAGACAGGCCCTACCTCTTCACACCCTCCTGCCGAGAGCGCCTTTGACAGCGCAAAATACCTCGCCGACTTCGTCACCGCCAATACGGGCCGCACGCGAACTCCAGCCATAAAACCAGGTCGAGGCGCCCGCCTCACCTCTCCTGAGCTCTCGCACGATCACCACCCCGCTGCCAAGCAAGTCCACTGGCGGCTCAACCCCCTTCTCCACAATTCGCGGTGGTACACCCGCGCCGCGTCCCTTCCTCCCATCCCCTCCTCCTCCGATGAGACGCCCATCAAGCCCGTTCTGGCCTGCATCGGCCTTATGCAGAACGTCCTGCTCATCACGGCCCTCAAGAAGCAAGCATTCGACATTATCGACGAAGACCGGCCGACCCTCTCTGGCGTGGACTTTGCCATGTCATCCACGACCGGTATCCTCTTTCGACCTGTCCATAACCTTCTCCACGGCGCGGGTGATCTCCTCGATGATCTCGGAATGGCGGTACAGCACTATGCGCGGGTCATACTTGTCTTTGAGGTCAAGTCTTACGGGATCAGACTCCCCGAGCCAGACGTCGGGACTGGCGAAGCCGCCGTGCCAATGGACGATCCCGATCCGCTCACTCCGGCCATCTATCGCGCTCTCGGCGAGTTCTCGGATAAGGTGGAAGAGATCAAGCATCGACGTGGTGCCGAGGACGGAGGGGGAGGAGACGTCAAGGTGGTGTTTGGGATGAATGGTCCAGGGGAGGTGGCTAGGGTCACCAGGGCAATGGCGGACCATACGGAGAAGGACTGTATGGCAGGGGAGGGAAGTGATTGGCTGGAAGGTACCGGGGTAAGTCCGCCCATGCAGTCAAAAGGACAAGGCTGATCAGCAGGGTGAGGAAGAGAGGATACTGGAACATCAGTTCGGAGTCAATCTGTATGCGAGCCGAGCGATCCTGGCGCGTTTCAAGCCGTTCAGTGCGTACATGGCCAAATGGACGGATCAGGACGCTGTGGATGAGCTAGGCAAGGTGATCGGGAGGGGTGTAGCAGTGAGTACATGATACCGTCTAAGCTATGTGGAAGCTGACGACCCGTAGAAAAAGCTGGTGGATAAGCTGTTCGCAACCGAGGACGCGGCGGATATGCTGGGATGAACGAAGGATCTGAGGGAGTGATTCGGATGTGTATAAGGTCGTGCGCATGTATAGAGAGGTCGGGCAAGAATGCATCCAATCTTATATACAACACCTAAAGCTATACTAATCTCAAGTCATCATCGCCCCTCTCATATCATGCAGACAATCCCATATACAACACCTAAAGCTATGCCATTTCTAAGTCATCATCGCCCCTCTCATAAAGTCATCAAGGCACGTTATATTGAACGAGATATCTTCCGGATACCCCTCCTTCTGCCCCTGCCCACCCACTGCCGCCTGCCCTAGATCCGCTGGATCCTCAGACCACAAACCCCTCGCCCTCTTGGCCGGATCCCACTCGATAAAGTTGTATTCCTTCTCCTCCATCTCCCCCCTCTCCTCCCTCTCCCTCGCCGCATCCATCTCGTCCATCTTCCTCTTTTTTGCCTCTCCAAATTTCACCGGTGCCCACGCGTACCCCGCTGGATCATCCCGCACATGCTGCCTTATAATCGCGAGGGACGTATTCTGTTTATCCCCCCACCGCTCTTTCCACGCTTCGACGTATTCGTCAAGGTGTGCCAGGTCGAGCTCTTCGGGCTGGTCCATCGGATGCTCGTGCAGTGGGTGACCCTGCAGGACGTGCCACCCCCGGACGATCCAGTGGGCCTTTTTCCACTTGTCCCGGCTGGCCAGGCGGGTTTCGAGGTCCCATTCCCGCAGAGGGATGGGGACGGCGTGTGATGGGTCGGGGTACTACCACGCGGAGAGGATACCGGGGAGCCAGTCTTTGCCGTACGACGGGAAGATGGGGCGGGTGGGGGCGTCCGGGTCGAGGGCTGGGGGTTGCAGAGCGGGGTCCAGGTATTGAAGGTCGAATGGGGAGGGAGAGGCAGAGATGGAGGGGGAAGGGGATCGGTGTCGGCTGGGGCCTGGTTGCGATGGACCAGCTTCCGATATGAGGGCAGCTGAGGCGAGAGTGAGGGGCGCGGGAAATTGGGTTGTCGTCGATGAGGACGCCAATGAACCGGTGGGGAGCGCACTGGAGGCGCTCGCTCGTCCGTGCTCCGACGTCCCGCTCTGCGAGTTCAGATTGGAGATAGCAGGCGGTGCGCTTCCCGCCGCGACAGGCTGGGCGACAGCAGCGCCATCCGGATGAGGAGCAGAATCTGGATTCGGGACCGCCCGAGATGGACCACTGATGGTGGTCGCAACTGCTGCTGGCTGATGGGAAGGTCTGGGTGGTTGTGTGGGAGCCGATGGGAAGGGCGATGCAGAGGGCCGGGCTGGGGCAGCGGGTGCTGCACCCGTTGAAGTCGGTCTGGCAATGGGCTGGGAAGATGTAGAAGGGATGGACGGTCCGGAGGTGAGGGTTGTGGCAGTCGAGGTGAGCCGACGGGCTGTATCGACGACGTTCCGAGCGGTAGGGGCGGACTGAGGAACGGCCTGCGATGCCTCAGAAGGCGCTCTAGCGGGAGCTGGAGCAGCAGGACGCGGGCCAGCAGGAGGAGCTGCAGGGAGGGACGCCGCAGGCCGCGGTGTGGTAATGCTTGGCTTCGAGCCGAGAGCAGGTTGGACTGTTGCTTGGCTGACAGCCGCGGTAGACAGCGCGTTGGGCATAGCTGGTTCTGCCGGGGCCGAGGGTGGAGTAGTGGCCGGCGGTGGACCAACGGGGTCAGTCGAGAGGGGAGGGAACCGGTAGAGGTAGGGTGCGAGCTCAGTGACTTCCATCAACGGATGAGCTATTCGGCGGTGCGTTGCAAGTAGCTGAGAGGTACTGGGAGCACAGGCCGGGCCAGAGGGAACGGGGTGGCTAGGTCCGGCCAGGTTACTGGTCGATGCCGACGACGACTTCGACGAGGAGGATATGGCTATCTGCTGACCAGCGCCAGAGGCGCTAGAGGAGGTGGACTTGGCCGACGGTGCAGCAGCCAGAGCTGGCACAGGGCCGGCCTTGGGTACAGCGGACTTGACCGCGACTGGTGCAGCTCCGGGGGGAGCCAATCCGACCTTTGAGGTGGAGGGTCCAGCAGCCTGCGGAGCTACCGGTGGAATAGCTGTCCATCTCCACTCCGAAGGGGTTTATAGGTGCAGGCTGTGGGAGCTGCTTCGCCGGCACCGCTACTGCCGGCGCGGCCGTGACCGTCTCCTTGAGCCGGCTCTTGGCTCGCTTCTAAGGGGGAGCTTTGGCGGGAAGGGGGGATGAATACGCCGGTGGGGGCGGACCGGGAGTGGAGGTGCTGGGCGAAGCAGCTTGTGGGGGAGCCAAAGAGGGAGTCAAGGCGGAGTTGGGTGTTGGGGTGGGAGTGGACGGCGACCCCGACTTGGCCTGGATAGCTTTCCGGATTGCTGGGGTATTGACAGGTTCTGTATATCAGCTACTATTCCGCTCGCTCAGATACGAAACGATTGAGCTCACTCCCTCCCCCACTGAGTTGGCCCGAGCTCTTCAAGAGAGACTGGATGAGGTCATTTTGCCGAGTGACAGTCTCGGTGAGATTCGCGACTGTGGTCGAGAGCGAGGCGACCTGGCCCGACAGGACGGCGATCACGTCTGAGGCTGTGGGTTCGGCCATGACGGGATGTCAAGGCCTGCCAGAGAGATCGGCCGTCAGCCAATGTGGGAGCTGTATTGGGAGGTCTTACAGCGGTTGCGAGCTGCAAGATGTGAGTTGGAGTGCTCAAAGGTATGGTGTCTGCTTCGACGCGCTCGGCGGCGGTTTGTTGATGTTGAGGCGGCACGTGACTTTCGACTGTACGTCATCGGAGAGCGCTGAGCGTTTGTCCAGCGAAGCTCGTCCATTCGCATCCATTTCTCGCAGCGGGACCGCATCTAGGCATGTCCGATGGGAGCATGCAGAGGAGGTGCAGACCTGGGCGGGCCGGCCAGCTCATTAAGTTGGCTGCCCGCTCCCAGAGCTCTGGGAGGCGGAAGGTGAGATCGTAGGACAAGGTCGCACGCGCCGCTACACTGATGATCGCACCTGATGACTGCTCGATTTGTCACACTTCCCACATGCGATATGCTACTCACAGCTCTCCACGTAGATGCGTGATAGCATATGCATTAGGAGCCGCCAAAAGAACGACCCATAATCCACCAATTGCCCAAAAGTCTATCTAGTCCCGAGACCCAAAAACACCCTTCAGTCTTTCAGACCACCACTCATGGAGGCGCAGCTGCCCGGTACTGCGTGCAGCAGCTGGATCCAGGAAATCTAGCCACTAACAACATCAGCCAAGTGCCTTTGCGCGAGTACGCTGAGACAGTACGAAATATGAAACGGAGAGCCCTCGACTTACAGGCATTGACCGCCTCTGGGTCAGCGCACGTGATACCGCGCCGGGTGACTGCGAAGCCGCCGTCGAAGTATTCGTTGTAGGAAGCAAGGGTGAAGCACTGAAGTGTTGCCGCACTGTATGTCGCGCCAGTGCAAGCTGTTGTATCAGCTCTGTCAGGGGCACATTCGCCCTTTTGCAGCAAGATGAGCCGGGATAGATGCTCACTGGAAATGATCTCGCACTTCTTTGTACATTGATCACGATTGGCTATGTTCTCATACAGCACTGCGCCCGTCGGGGCATTATAGTCCAGGTTGACGAATCGTGCGAAGGCGACCCCGCCCGTGGAAGTGAGGCCGCATTCACTTAGAGGGAAAGGCACAGGACTGGCTTCCTGCCGTCTTTGAGCAGGTGTGCGGGGATGATTGAGACGGGCGACGATCTGGGCGCAGGTCGCCTGTTTGAGTACTCGATAATTGGAGTCTGATGGGGTGGGAAGGCGGATGGCGAATACCGAGAGAGATGAAAGGGTGAGGAGGAGGGAGAGGAACGTGATCGACAGGTGGCGGGGGAAGCGCATGACGGGCCCCTAGCCTTTATGGGTCGACCTAACGCTTCGAAGATAACACTGCACAAGCTGGAGGAGAAGTGATACGAGGGTATGGATGGGAGAGGGCTCGTCAGAATCTTACATGCGGACCACTTCAGTAGCTGATCTTCCCTTCGCATAAGATTTGCAGCTTGTCTTGCATCTCAGGCACGGCTTAGTCCTGTAGGTCCTTGTCCACCTCACCTTGCTGGGTAATCTCCGAGCTTGCGAAAGGGTGCGACGAGAAAGCGGCAACGGAGCTGACCGATTTCTGCCGGGCGCGCCGTCCACATGAGGATCCCGGGTGGGCAGTTCCGCTCCGCGCCATTCCAGAAGAGCGGCATGCTGGCACTGTGCGGCATGTACTCGGAGGTTGCGGCTCCGAGACCGAGTAGTGGCGTTTAGATGAGGGTCTGTGCATCGACGAGGACGCTGTGCAGGCTCCATTCGCCGCATAAGGTAGAAAGTAGCGGAGCGGAGGTTACAAAGTTCGACTGGTACTCTTTGTTCCTCGGCTATCGTTATCAGTACCCGATCTTCTACTCAATGTGGTAGATTCGCCTCGTTTCAGACAGACATGCTTGACACTGAGTAGTCGACTTCCTGCGAGCTTTTTACTCTGAATTCCGTGTACGGGGTTCTGCGGCGTTATGTACAGAGATTCGAATTTCAGGGCTAGGCTTGGCTGTCAATTGGCGCCTCGCGAAGGCATCTCGACTACCCACCATCACGCGGAATGTACGGGATGCCTCAAAGGGCTCATCTCCTCGCCTTATAGAGCCGCAAGCTCGACTGACCGAAGTGCGGATCGCAGCCGGCGGCATGTGTATGATGCGGCCCATACGACCAGGAGCTAATGGCGCGTGCTGGTGTGAAAATCTGAAACACCTCGACGTCACTTGTCCGTCAGGCACGCGATTGGTGTGTGCCTCGTTCAACCGCGTCCCTTTCTCCTCCTTACGCTTCCTTTGAGACACTGCTGCGCTGCGCTGACCGGTCATCGTTGCAGCTTTCCGCCGTACGATGGACTGCCTCTCACCCCTAATACAGCTCTGACGACCCGGCAGCTGTAGTCCACGACTCCACGCCCAGTCACGCGATCGGCCGCTCGCAGAGGCAGAATGAGCGACTTCCCTGCCGTCATCATTCCGCCCGCATCATCCCCCTCGGCGGGCGGTACCTCCTCGGACGGTACGCAGATCAACGGCTCGATCTTGATTCCCGTCACAGCCATCATCATCGGTCTATTCGTTGCTGGCTTCATCGTAAGCCATCCGCCCTCAAGCTCTGCCTTTACAGCACAGCTGACTTCCATAGGTCGTATTCCGTCGCCGTATATTCAATGTCTTCAGGAGGTGCTTCGGTCTCCCCCTTGTACCCTCCCCTACAACTCTCGGGTCGGCGGAGAATGGTCAAGCGGCAGGAGGACAGCTATCAGCCGAACAACTTGCAGGTACCGCACCAGCAAGAACCACGGGGAACGGCGGGACTGGCACCACAGCGACTGCGGTCCGGGGTCGACGAGCCCGGCGTGGCGTACGGCGGACGGACAGCGGGCAGAGTATCCGGACTCTGCCTGCGTATAGCAAGGAAGCGGGGGACGAGGAGTTGGTTCTGGTACGCAGGCAGAGCATGCGGAGTGTGGACGAGCAGGAAGAGGGCGAGGATGATGTCGGGTTGGAAGAAGGGGAAGCGGGAGATGATGGGACGATAGAAATGAGGGAGAGGCGGACGTCTGGGGTGGGAGGGGTGCTTGACCGTGTGGCGTCGCTGAGGCGGTCGGGGTCGCTACGGAGCATCGCTAGCGCGGTGAGCAGGAGATCATCCCGCGGTCCTACCGTCGAGGCGTCAGCACCGCCGGCGGAGGAGGCGGACATTGCTGAGTCCGGCTACCCACCCTCCACTCCCCAGACTGCCCCTCCCGCTCGGGTCCGACAGGCATCGCAGACCGGTTCCGTTCGGCGGGGATGGGGCGAGGCGCCCACCTATCTCGAAGCCATGTCTTCCCCATCACCCGCTGATTCCAACCCCCCCTCCCACCCCTCGGATCCCGGACCATCCCGCACCACTCTGCGCGAACGGACCTCGTCAACTTTCCGCGGTCTTCTCTCCCGCACAGGCCTCGTTCCCGCTCCCACATCCACCTACTCTGGACCTCTCGGCCTTCGTACCCGCAGCCCCCCATCCACAACGTACGGTCGCCGGCCCACATCCTCCGTCTCCCTCCTCCTCCAGCCCCAAACATCCCGACACTCCTCCTCCCTCTCCCCAGACCCCACGACGTCCGCCTACCCCTCCCCATGGACCTCGACCCACAGCCTCGGACTTATATCCTCCCCGATACCCCATTCGGCCGTGCGCGCATCATTCGAAACGACCGATCTACCCCGTGCGGGCTTGTCGGATGATCAGATGCGGTTTTTGGGCACGAGAGAGGCTACGAGTCTGGCGGGCGTGAGGGTGGGGGAGGTGCCGGTGGCGAAGAGGAGAAGGGGGAGTGGGGCGGTTCCGGGTCCGAGGAACGTTAGTGGGGGTAGCACGTTGAGTGGGGGGAGCAGTGGAGAGGTCGGACAAGAGGGAGAGGAGGGTCCGCCGACTTGGGGAGAGGTGGATGAGGAGAGGAGGCAGGGGGAGGCGGCGCATGGCAGAGTCGAAGCGAGTGCGGATGTGGTGGGTGTGGGTAACATCTCAGGGGAAGGCGGAGGTGGAGAAAGATCGCCGGCTAGAGGTCATGAGGACGCAAGTTCGCCAGCGACAATCCCAGTCCGATCCACACATACTCCACCAGTATTACCCGGCTCACCCAGTACAAGCGACAATACACCGCCACCTCCACTTCCTCGCTTGGACATCGTAGCGGCCACTCCAACTACGCCAACCTTTCCATCTCGGTTCCCGGTCATACCACCACCGGTCCTGGGGATGTAGTAACGACTATCAGATCGGGCTGTCGGTATACATGCATGATGTGGGATTTGGTGGCTATGTCATGGAGGTAGATACAGTATGGTTACAACATGCCTGATCTGGATGCTAGTCCGCTACAGTGTCCGTCCCCTACACACTACGCTACTCCTCCTCATTCCGCACTTCCATCGACCTCAGCCTCTCACTCAACTCCCGCTCCGCCGCGCTCAGACTCCCTTGTCTCTTTCCCTTCCGTACCTGACCCGGCTTTGACATCTGCAATAACGAAGGTGCCCCAGGTTCCGATGGTGGGCTGGCCACGCGAGGGAAGCCCTCTGTGTGGGGTGTGGGAGGCCGGGAGGAGGCGCGAGAGGGACCAGCGGAGTGCATGTTCGGCATGATGGGCATGAGAGATGTGTTGGACATGCCCATAGGGCTGCGGATCGGTAATGGAGACGAAGTAGCTGTAGGCGAGACGAGCTGTAACTTATGTTTATCCTCCGCCTTCCCATTGGCCCCAGCTCCCACATCAGCCTTCGCCCCCTCTTCCTCCTTCTGCACCCGCCGCCTAGCGATCCATTTCTGCCTTACCATCGCCCACTCTTCCCCTCCTTTCCTCCCCGCCCCCGCACTGGCAGGTGAGAACCCAACCACCCTCCCGGCACTCCCCAGCGACACCTCACTGGGAGGCACGACCTCATCTTTCCTCTCTGTCCGGAGCTGCTCCGTGCTGCTCGGTGCATGCGCACTGAAGATCACCTTGATCGTTTTGGACAGGTAGTATTGTCGATGAGAGAGGTGGGAGGGGTCCAAGTGGGACGTGGTGGCTGGTGCGGATTGACGTGGACGGCGAGTTGTCGATGCCCCGGTAGCTGGGGGCGAGATAGGGACGGAGGGTAGGCAGACGAATTGGAGTTGAATAGCATATCGGAGGTACTCCCTCCGAGAGGCCGTACTTGGTGAGGGCAACGACGTGGACTGACAGACAGAGCCTCCCCCGTGCTCCGCCTCAACGTATGTGCGTTCCCGCACTAACAGCCTTGCGCCATCAAGCAGACTCCGCAGATCGTACGGAACGATAAAGACCCGTAATGGCGCCAAAGCGCTCTTGACGATGATCTGCAATTGACCGATCGGAGCGACCTGATACCCCGGATGATCTGGCGGCGGATCCCCTGAGATAGGGCCTTCGGGGCTAGGCGAGCGAGACGAGTACCGCTCGTAGTATACCTGTTCGAGGTCGATATTGCCCACCCACGGCGTCTGTGCTGCGCCTCCCACGGCCTTTGATCCTCCCTCTGGATCGAGAAGATCATAGTACGTCGCCGAGAATGGGAGAGTGAGCGGTGGTGGAGCGCGGAGTTCAGGAGGACAGGTCCGGCCCTTCCCAACGCTGCCGATCCGGAGTGAGAAGCCCGCGGTGGAGCTGGACGCGAGCGAGTGGGATTGCGTGCGTGACATACGGGAGTGGAGGAGGCTGAGCTGGTATGACCCGAGAAGGGGCTGAGAGCGAGATAAAGGAGGTGAGGCGGGGTGCGAGGGTGGGGTCGATGGGTCGGGGGTTGGACTGGTCGAGGTGGGAGGGGAGGATGGTGTGAAGGGGGTGAAAATCGAGCGGGAGGGCCGGGAGAGTGAAGATGCGGGCTGAGAGAAGCGCCGGTTGTGTGAAGAGGAGACGGACCCGTCTGACCGGCGAGGGAAGGTGGACGTTGACGGTGATGGTGAGGGCGTGCGGTTGGGTGAGAAGTGAGGTGGACCGGTCAGAGGGGATGATCGGATGGGTGAGGCTGGGATTCAGCTACTTATCCGGTGCGTATTGATTGGCCCAGGTGAACATACCAGATAGATAAGACGGGCTAGAGCCCGTAGGTGGGTGTGTCATAATTCCAAAGCTTCCCCTCGCGGGTTATGTTTTGCCGTCGTGGAGAGCATGAGGAAAGATGGGTCGATATCGACCGGTGGCGAGTTGGGTTTTCGCCTACTGCTTCTACTACCGGGCTTTCTGAACTTCTCTGGACCGTGTCTGAGCTATCCACTGCACCTGAATGGCCAAATGGGGTGATTGTCAGTGCAATGATGAACGAATGATGCGGGAAGGTCAGCTTATATCGGCCAAAGGGTGGACCTTCCTTATCTGGGGTCTCCACAGCCACGTGGTGCCTCCGACGGAAAGGCGGCCGCGGAGAAAGTCAGTCGCCAGAGCCAAAAGTGGAGAACCACCTTCCTCATCCACCTCTTACATTGTCTCCAGCTCCGATGCAGCCACCACAGCGCATCCTGGCTGTTCTGCCGCCTACGATCCGCACTATTTTGTCCGAGGGACCGTCAAGCTCGAGCCAGACGGTGCACGCTTGGGTGCGGTCCATACGAGCTCACAAGAATGTGGCTTTTGCAGAGGTGGACGATGGGACGGCGAGGGTGCAGGCTGTACTGAAGGGCAAAGGGATGGAAGCGGGGTAAGCTAGCAGCCTCTGAAGCGCGGTAAAGGTGAAGCTGACTGTCAGACTGACTCAGGGTTGTAGTGTAGCCCTATCGGGAACGCTGCAGGCTAGTACGGGCAAAAAGCAGGCCGTGGAGTTCATGGTGGAGACAGCGAAGACCATAGGTGCCTGTGACCCCGATGTGAGTCTGATAATGGCCAGACGTCATGATCTAAGCTGATACTCAAAGGTATATCCTATACAAAAGCAGCAGGTCCCTCCGGCGTATCTGAGAGATCATGCGCATTTGCGATTCCGGACCGCGCGGACGGCAGCTATCATGCGCGTGAGGGATAGCCTCATGCGGGACTGGCACGATTGGTTCGAGGTTAGCTGTGTTGATCGCACCTTCCGCTTGTATGCTAACGCCTAGTCAAACGAGTTCGTCCATATACATACGCCGATTTTGACTAGCTCGGACTGCGAGGGCGCCGGGGAGGCGTTTGCCCTTGTCAACCCCATCGTCAATCACCCGACCTCCGCCTCCGCCCCGCAGTCATCGTCAGCCTCGGCCGGACCCTCATCCTCCCAGTCCACATCGGACCGCTTCTTCCCCCATCCCGTCAATCTCACTGTCTCCTCCCAACTCCACCTCGAATGCCCCACCCACGCTCTTCCACGCACATACACCCTCTCTCCCGCCTTCCGCGCCGAACCCTCCCTTACTTCTCGACACCTCTCCGAGTTCTACATGCTCGAAGCAGAGGTCGCTTTCGTGGATACGCTAGACCAACTGCTCGACGCCGTCGAGAAGGGCATGCGGGAGGTCCTCCATCGATTGATGTGGGAGCATGGGCGAGGGGAGCGGACGCGGAAAGATCTGGAGATTATTCGGGATCACGAGCCAGCGGACGACTACGGCTCTCCTCATTTGGCAGCGGAACCGGAACGTCCAGCTTTGAGTCACCTGATCAATGCCGCTGCTCGCCCGTTTGCCCGGATGACCTATACCTCCGCCATCAAGGCTCTACAAGCGGCGCAAGAGGAGATTGAGGGTCGATTCGAGCATCCGCCGATATGGGGCCAGGGCTTGTCGAGCGAGCATGAGCGTTACCTCGCCGCCCAAAACGGCGGACCAACAATCATCACGCATTACCCCGCAGCAATCAAGCCCTTCTATATGCTGCCGTCCTCGGCGGACCCGTCGTGGGCGGCGGAAGGAGGCGAACAGGGCGAGACGGTGGCGTGCTTCGATCTCTTGTTGCCGGGGCTGGGAGAGCTGATCGGCGGGTCATTGAGGGAACATCGATTGGGACCGCTCGTGGCCGCAATGAAGAAGGCGGGGCTGAAGAAGGAGGAGTACGAGTGGTATCTTGATTTGAGAAGGTTTGGGTCTGTCCCGCATGGAGGATGGGGGATGGGGTGGGAGAGATGGGTGTGCTGGGTCACGGGCGTGGCGAATATCAGGGATGTGGTGGCTTTTCCAAGGTGGAAGGGAAACTGCAGGTATTAGTAGATTAGTGAGAAGCAAAGCCGTAGTACCCATTTCTTTTGTATAGTGCATTGGCATCTACATGATCGTACATGCTTCGTCTCCACCCATCCCTCCAAAGTCCTACCTGGTCAGCTTATGCTCTCAAGATAACCGAGAGATGAGCTCACCAAGCCCTCTGGCAAGTCCCCAATAATCTCCTTGGGTGGCCCCCCCAGATCCTGCATCTCCCCTACTAGCCTCGCTATTTCCTGACCATCCTCGTCCGCCGAATACCCAGGTTTCCGGAACGTCGCCACGATCTGGTCGACGAGTTTGGACTGTCGCCGGTACTTCTCCATATCTTCCGCCGAGACGCCCGCCGGTGGGGAAGCGAGGTATGCGGGGTACTAGTGTATCAGCTACTACCCGGAACCAGGATCGGCTAGCTCACCTTGGAAGCCAACTCCGACATGGGCTCCTCCAATACCTCCTTGGTCATCAACGAGCTCATCATCCCGTCTAGCAGCCCGCCTAGATCATCCTCGTCCCCATCTCCCAGCCCACCCTCCTGGCCCAGCTTTGCTAACAGCGCCGCCAGATCAGGCATCTCCCCATCCCCCCCTGCTGCTCCTCGCGTATCCTTGCTTCCGAGCTGCTCCATCGTCCGCCGGATCGTTTCGTCGAATGTTGGTTTCGGTTGACCAGGCGCCGCGCCTCCTGCTGCGGCTCGAGAGGCTGAGCCAGACCCAGAAGCCCCTCCTGCGCTTCCAGCCCCCTTCCCGTCCAGTCCCAGCGCCTCGAGTCCTTCTCCGGACAGCATCATCTCAATAGCCTTCTGAAACGCCGCTTCTTCCTCTTCTGCTGACATCTTCCCCGCTCCGCCTAGCCCTTTGGGCAAGCCAGCTGAGGCTCCGGCACCAGCTGCGGGTGGATCGTCCGGGTCTGCACCGTCCACATCAGGCATAGGGCCGGGAATATGCGTGCCCGCGAGCTGACGCAGGAGCTGCTCCATCTCGCCCGCTAATGACGCCTCGAAGTCGCCATCGTCATCTTCCGCACCGCCCGCTTGGGGAGCCGCCGAAGAGCTAGAAACGGTCACTGTGGATGTGGTTGCGGATGCCCGAGGAGGTGCTGATACTGGTGCACTAGGTTTGGGTTGATTGAATCCCGCGAGGACATCTGTCTGATCAGCTCGTTGCGCCTCGCCAAGGGGACGACAGGAGCTCACCATCCAGGTCGTCCAGATCTTCATCATCCGACCCGTCGCTGACTATGGGGTTGCGGTATGCCTTGGAGCTGCTGGCTTGTCTGTCCATGATGGCGGTGGATGTGCGTGGAAGGTTGATGGAAAGGTGGAGAGCGCGGTTAATCGCGTCGAGGCTAACCGATAGTGCTGCGGCGCCTACTTTGGGAAGAGCCCCTCGGCGCGGCGATTCTGGTGCGCCTAACTGCCCGTGAGCCAAAGTGGCGACAGAGCTCTGCAGGCCGGGTGGCGGCTTGGGTGGCGGGTCTTGCTGTCTGCAGAGGCCTCAGCTCATGCGACACTCCTTTACTGGGCACCACCCTTGTCTGCGGCGCCAGTAGATATGCGACGCGTTTGGGCACAACAGGGGATGGCGCCAGATCGAGAGCAGCACCGCGATGCGTGTGTGGAAACGCAATCAGCTACTCGATCCTTTGCGCGCAACCCCCTGCAACTCATCGTCTTTGACGGCTGGGCAGCCAGTGCTGCTCTCCCCAGGGCTATAAGCGGGGGTCTTTCAAGATCTTCGCCGAAGCATCACAGATATTACTGACGCAGAAAGAACGCAGCCTCGACTGGACAATCCCTACCTGCCGAACAATGGTTGGAGGCAGCGACCCGGCATATGGCCGTCAGCCTACACGTCGCTCATCGCGACGCACAGGAAGACGCGACCTATGTCACAGTCAAGGGGTCTGTAGGTGACGAGACGAACGAGCCTGCATCCGGTTTCCGGGACGAGTGAGGTCAGACCAGTGTCTTTGTGTCGATTCTGTCCCTGCGCCAAATAGCAGCTGTCCCCTTGTACGTGATGTGACTTCTGGATCTGCCTCGAGCACGCATGTATTGCTACTGTAGGACAAACCAGGGCGCTTCTAGTAAATCCGACCAATGTCATCGTAAATTCGTACCAAGAGCTAGATGGCATGGGATGACCGTAGTGCTGCGGCCGGCCGGGACAATCAGCTCCATGGCTCGTAACGGGAAAGGGCCTGCTGATGCACTTCATTGCTGTCCTTACTCCTCAAGCGATGATCGCGAAAAAGGGAGTAGCATGACGATCAGTGTGCCCCTAGGCGAGAAAAACCATTGACGACTGAGTAATGGACGCAGCGGCCATCAAGACCTCCGCCTCCATGGCAGCATCACTGCGCATCTGCCCTGCTGCTGATCGGTAGCGATGCCTATTGCCCATCATCCCATTGTCCACCAATCCTACGGGGCTATAAAGTTGAGACACCACTTTCGCCCGTCCTTTGACATCAGCTGCTCCAGTCTGGCGACTCTGGCCTGAGTGTCGGCATCTGACGTGCTCGAGCACATCAAGGGAGGGTCCGACTGAAAGGCTTGCTGACACGTCTCAATTGAGCCCTCCTTTGGCCTCGCCCCCCGTATAGCAGGACAAGCAGGACACCGGCCGCACTGGAGCGATTCTCGCATCCCTCAGGCGTCCCCCGTGGTTGCAGAAGAGGCGACAATATTCTATAACTTCCGCCCCTCTCTGCATCCAATGTCCATCACTTGCCACCGTCACCCTTTACTACCACCACTCAGCACCCTTACCCTTCCTGCTGACTACCACTGAGCCGCTCTGTCTGTCAATGTCACTTGCTACCGATCCCATCATCACCTGGAAAGAGGTTGATACCTACTTCAAGACGAGGCTGACCGGCCCCGGTACAGTCCAGGACGCTGAGGAGGCGAAAGCGAAAGTCCTATCCTTCATCGAGCGGAGCGACAAGATCACCCACGAGGGCGTGAGGCGGCGCGTGTTGGACGTGATCGCAGAGAAAGCCGGCAATCTGATTACTTCCGACGAATTGGAGAAGAAGCCGCGCGTGTTCCTTGATGTGTCGACCCTTTGTGAGCATCCTCCCTCCATTTTCATTTGCGTCACCTCGTTGCCCTCCGCATACGCTGATCAAGCATCAGCGGAACAGCATCAGGAGAGCCTGCATTATGAGGTATCCAGAATGATGAGCGAGACCTACAAGAGCCCCAATGACACCCACTCATTCTGGGACTGGCCGACTGATATCGCAAAACACATCGAGGCGGAAAGGACTGCAGAAAATGGGAGCTGGAGAGGTCTCGATGAAGGAAAGGTCGAAGAGGTCGCAGATCACCTGGCTTGGATGACGAGTGTCGTTCGCAAGCGAAGACGAGAGCCGTGACAGTACCGAGGCGCGCTGCCCAGCTCTTATCCGTCCGTCCTGGTGGGACTGACAGAAATTTGGAAGGCGCCTGGATCGATTGGGAGTCTACTAGAAATGTGAAGCACTTGATATACTTTGCGCCTTGTCCCCTCTGATGCCAGCCTATTGGGAGCTATTAGTTACCAGCCCAGACGACCCCAGCTGAGTCCAGCCGATGACGGCAGAGCTTGTTTCAGATGTGCCACTTTTGAAGGCGCGTCGCGTCTGAAATTTGGTTCCGAGGCTACTGAACCTTGTTGCTGTGCCTCGTCACTCAACAAACTATCCTCAGCCACTCGTCCACTTCGAACACACCCATCTCTCCCCTTTCCCGCCCTCGCAGAGGCATTCCGTATACCCCTTCTATCTACACGAAGAGGCCCCGTCGATACCCCACGCGCGACCCGTCCCCGTCGCGTTGTTTTTCATCCCTTCACATTTCGACCGGGTTGTTGTTTCACTTCTTCCCCTCGAGACAAATCAGAACTCCGACTACGACATTCGCATTCCAACCACTTTGGACACCTCCACTCATTGTCGCCTCTACGCCTGCATTATCCGGACACGCGATAGCAGGATATGCATGCTGCCAATCTTTCACACTCTCTACGATAAACAACCGCTCGACGCTCGGACATCAGCGTTCGCACCCCTTTCAACATGTCGCGCCAACCTATCCTCCTCGCTATCCTCCTCCCCTTCATCCTTCCTGTCCTCGGCGGTACCCCGGCGCCAGCCTCCCTGCCTGCGGTAGACTTTTCGCGGATGGGAACGGTCGGGCTCGGCGGATCTTTCGCGGGGCTCGACTGGTGGTCCGAGCAAAGTCCGTTCGCTTCGGCTTCATCATCCTCGTCGTCAACACCCCGGTTCTCGGCGGAAGGAGATACGGTGTTCCTGCGGGCCGGAGATGGCGGGTACAGGCCAATAGGGGTGACGAGCGCGGGAGGGGTGGTGAATGATGTGTGCTGGATATCGGGGGAGGGGAATGGAACGATATACGTTGGAGGGTCCTTCACGGCCATAGGTGGTCAGACGACCTCCAATCTGGCAGCGTACTCGCTGTCTACCTCACAGTGGCGGACGATAGGGTCGGGGCTGTCAGGACCGGTCAATACGCTGTCGTGCGATTCGGACAGGAAGGAGGTCTGGATAGGAGGGCAGTTTCAGGGGCCAAACGGAAACAGGAGCAACATCGCGCTCTGGTCGACATCCTCGTCGTCATGGCAGGCCATCCCCTTCACCGGGCTGAATGGTCCGGTATCGACCATCTCTCGAAACCCTTCCAACTCGAACCTCTTCTTTGGCGGGTCCTTCTCAACCACTTACTCCTCCAACTCCACGCGCAACATCACTTCCAACTACACCTCTACACCCTCAGCACCCTCCAATACCTCCACAATCGGCAACTCCGGCTTCCTCACACCCGTCACGCTTCCTGCGTCCAGCAGCGCGGAAGGGCAATTAACAATCACGGCGGGACCTGCGACAGCGGACCCAAGATACAATGACCCGCGAGTCATGCTATGTCCGGGAAGCGGGACCTGGCTGGCGGTGGAGAATCAGGTGTCGGATGTGAACCTGCTTGGATACAACTTTTGGAGGGCGTCAGGAGCAAGGGTACGGAATGGGTTGGTAGAAGGCAGAGGGACGACCACTTTCTGGTGAGTAGCACGTTTTGCGGGCTGTAGATTTAGCTGACGCTCCAGTCTAACGAGCATACCCGACAATCTGCAACTCAACATGACGTATACCGACCCCAAGACCGGCAAGAATGCGACCTGTTGGGATCATTGCCCCTTGTCAACCGATCCTAGCGTCGGAGGACAGGACTTTGTCTTTACGGATGGACCGAGGAATATGACAGGGCTGCAGATGCAGCTCAAGACGTGGATCGGACAGGGCGCGGGACTGAGTAGTGTGGAGCTGTTGTCGCCAGGTAAGCATTTCGCGTTACCATGTGGACTTGGCTGATTTGAAGGTGCATTTGCTTCGTCCTCCTCGGATGGCAACTCAGGTGTTTGCCCCGGCGCAAGTACCTCATCGGTTCAACGCACCGGCGACTGGACACAAGGGACAGTCCACACCTCCATCGCCGCTACGGTCGCCTACTACATCAAAGCACAAGTTGCAAATCCTCCACCCAACTACCCCTCGGTCACATTCTATCCCCAAGTCTCCTCCGCGGGGTATTACGACGTCTACCTCCCAATCCCGGCGTGCTCCAAGACCGAGGATTGTGGCAGCCGCACCACCGTCGACATGACCATCTTCCCCCGCGCGGACGGTCAGGGCTATACCAGCACCATCTCTCAGGTCACCGATACCGACCGAAGCATCCTCATCTTCTCTGGCTGGATGGACAAAACCAGCTCCGACTTTTCAGCTACGGTCATGCTCGCCCTCGCTCGGCAGCCGGACGGGACTGGATCGGGGCGTTTGTCTATCGTGGCTCAAAGCGTCGAGCTCGTCCTTACCGGCATTGGCAGCCCCGGCCAGACTCCTCAGACCAGTACTGGCGGAATCGTCGGTCAGAACGGGACTATAGTGACCAATACCACTCGCGTCGGCAGCTCCAGCCAAGCAAGCTCTTTCGGCGTCTTTGAGTGGGCGCGAGGCGGGACGGTCAACGCCGCGAGCGGGTCTTTGCCCAACGCAACAGAGACCGCTCTCATTCGGGTCGGCTTCGCGTTGAGCTCGGCACGGAACGGGTCCGCCGGCGCCAGCGGGTGGGTAGTCAATGCTGTCGTGCCGGTCGGAAACACCATTTACGTCGGCGGTCAATTCGCACGAACGGGCAACTGGAGTAACGTTCTATCCATCGATACAGCCTCAAACACCACCGCTTCCCTGCCGGAGGGCGGACTGAATGGGGTTGTCCATACCGCGGTCGCTATCGGCCAGAACGTATACTTCGGCGGCAACTTTACCGGTACCGCCACCGGGAGCAATGCCAAGTTCCGCCATATCGTCCGGTATGACACCTCGGCCAAGTCCTGGTCGGCCATTGGCGGCGGGGTCGACGGGGCCGTCACTGCCTTGTCAGTCAGCAACAACCAGCTCATGGTTGTCGGGAACTTCACCAGCGTCCTTGCTGCAGATGGCTCGTCCACCTCAACAGGCGGATATGCTATCTACGACACCTCCTCTTCATCCTGGTCTACCTCGGGCGTCCTTTTCGGCACGCTGTCCGCAGCATCTCCAGTCGGAAACGGGAACACCATCCTCGCTGGTCGCGTTCTTGGCGCGAGTAGTAACTCGGTGAACGGCATCGCGCTGCTATCAACCGGCTCGAACGGTGCGGAGATCTCCACCCTCCAAGGTGTTACGTTCTCCTCGACCGGGTCTGGCGCGTCCGCTTCTGCTCCCGCCAAGAGAAGCCTTCAGCCTCGGCATCAGCCGCCGAATTGGATTTCTCGCCTATCCGCCGTCCTAGCTCCCGTTGTCACGCGCGACCTCCTCCCTCGCGCCCCTGCACCGGCAATTCCCGCAGCCACCGCTGTCGCTCCAGCTGTTCTCGCCGGCGGGTTCTGGACCAACTCGTCCGCCAGCAGTCGACCCCAGATCACCATCCTTGGCGGCAACTTCTCAACCACCAACAACAATATCGGCGGACTCGGTTTCTACGCCAACAACGCGCTTTCAGGACCTACTCCTTCGGTCCGAGGTGTAGTCCGTACCCTCGCGGTAATTGGCGACACGGTCTACGCCGCAGGATCAGGCGTCAACGTCACAGGCGTTGGATCTGGGCTGGTCGCGTATGACCTGGCGAAAGGACAGTGGTCCTCGAGTCGTATCCCAGCTCTGAACGCGCAGACCGGATCGGCCCTGGTCATTGATGTCATTAAGCAGAGGGAGTCTACCAACACGGTGGTGGTGGCTGGCAACTTTGGGTCGGCGGGGAGTCTGGCGTGTGCGGCGGTGTGCCTGTGGGACACGGGAAGCGCGCAGTGGAGTAGTCCCGGTGGCGGGCTGTCGAGCGGGGAAGTCAGGGCTATCGACTTTGCGGGCGTAAGTTCTATCACTGCTTCTTGCTACTTGTGCTGATCTGCAGAACGAACACGACGTCCTGGTCGCAGCTGGCTCCTTCGTGCTTCCCTCTGGCGAGACCTCGTACCTCGCCTCGTACACCTTCTCCGAGGCAGCGTGGCGTCCGCTCGGCTCGCTGCCTGGCCCGGCACTCGCCGTGGCGGTCGATAACAAGAACGCCTCGTCCATCTATGCTGCCGGCTACTCTACCTCGGACAACACTCCTTACCTATCCCAGTGGACCGGCAACTCCTGGACCGCCCAAAACTCCTCACTCCTTCCCGGATCCATCGTCAGCCAGCTCGCCTTCGTCCCGCTGCAAAAGGAACACACCGGGACCGGACTCATGGAGCGGGACCGTATGCTCATGATGTCTGGGAACCTCTACCTTGACTCTGTCGGAAATGCCACTTCGGCGCTGTATGATGGGTCCCGGTCATACCCCTACCTCGCGGGTATCAGCTCGGGTGGAGGTCTCGCCGGCTCGTCCAACCTCTTCTGGTCGGAGAGCTCTTTCGACTTTACGATCCGACGATACCTTGCCGTCGGGCTGGTCGTCCTGGTCGCTATGGCGATCGCTACCGGTCTCATTCTGCTCCTTATACTCCTCTTCCTGCTCATCGGTTACTGCCTCCGCCGGAAAGAACGGAAGCGCCCCCACCAAGAGATGTACAATAAGGACCCGGCGGACCTCGACAACGGCAGTGATATCTCCTCGACGCACCAGAATGTCCTTCATACCGTCCAGAATGCGATCGAGGCGACTTTGATCGGTGCCACGCCCGCAGCGACCATTGCGGCGGCCAAGCACCGGTCCAGGGAGACTCGGGATTCCGGAGTGAGCGATTATGCGGGAGCCGGGGATGATGAGGAGGAGTCGGAAGAAGGAGGGAGGGAGACGACGATGCGGTATGACTTTGATGGGCCGGATCTCCAACCAGGGGAGATGAGTGTACGGGCGGGACAGAGGGTGATTGTCCTGGATGATCAGCAGAGTGAGGAGTGGTGGTATTGCCGAGAACCGGTCAGCGGGCGGGAAGGAGTTGTGCCTGCGACTTATGGTGAGTTTCTGGAATCTCCTTCATCCCGCAAGACACATACTGATAGCTATAGTCTGGTAGAGCGGGGATGATCAGTATACATCATGAACATATTGAACCTTTACGACCCCTTAACGACTATTACCTAGGAAAGACTTATAATTCTGCCAAACCAAAACCACCTTCTTCGTATCTCTGATTTTGACCATCTCTTTTACTGAGACTTTTGACCGCGGTCCAGCTAGCTTGAACCCGGCGTGTGCATGCCTTAGACTGCCAATGCATACCATATCTTGTGCTGCTATCGATAGGCCCGGGAGGATCGGTCATCGGGCCCATCGGGCACGGGTAAAGGCGATAGCCGAAGGAATTTGAAGTCGAATTTTGCTTTGGGTGGACTTGCGTTCTTGCACTTCGCACAGGAGGATGAGACCCGCCCTGACGCTATTGAGAGCATTACCGAAGCTTTCAGCTCATCGCCAGATGTCGACTCAGGTCCAGAAAGCAGTCGGCAAGAACCCCTCGTACGCTCGCCCACCACAGCCGAGCTCGGTCGTCCCCGTAGTCCCTCCGCCCCCTTACATCCCCTACACCTCCCCTCCCACTTCCTCTCTCCCACCTCCGCGCCTTCCTGATCGACCACCAATAGCAGACGTCCCAGCCGGATGGACGCGGACGTCCCATATCGTCCCTGCTGCCTATCCGAGGCGGTTCAATGACTCATTCGGTTCCCTCCGGCGCGAGAGCAAGCCGTTCCAGCTCGAACCGCCCAAGCAGGGCGAGACGAAAGAAGAGCGATTGGCTCGGAATGAGGGAGAGGCGCGGGAGTGTCTTAGGCAGCGGTTCGATGCGAGAGGATTCGAGAATGGGGCGGCAGGGAAGGGAGAGGGGTTATTTATGGCTGGAGAGCGGTGGAGGAGGGATGGGGCTAGCGAAGGGGTTGAGGGGGTCACGTTGGTTGTGACGCACGCAAATGGCTTCCATAAAGAGGTGAGTTTAGCTGCTTGGGTCATCTGCATTTCTAGGATCAGATCAGCTGAGACCGTAGAGCTGGCATCCGACTCTCCGGAGACTGCTCGAAGCAGACGCATTTGACCCGTCCGATACCTTCGGCGAGCCCGCGCTCAGGCGGACATCGGCTTCATCTTCATCGAGTACGAAGAAGACACAGGTGGACGAGATATGGCTCTTTGACGACGTGCATCACGCTGCGTCAATAGACCTGAATGCGGACCGGATTGGCGGAGTGCACGGATGGAGCGACGGCGGGAGGGATATCGTCAACTTCCTACAGCACGTCTATGGAAGCGAAGGGGAGCAGTATCCCGATCAGGAGGTGCTGACGTGGAGGGAAGGGAAGGCAACCAAGAGGAGGAAGGTGATCGGAGTGGGACATTCAGTCGGCGGGAACGCGTTGTGGGTGATCGCTTCCAGCTGCAGGGCTCATGCAGTGTTCTAGCAGCTGATACTGTCAGGGTCCAAGCAGCCGCCGAAGCTCCACAACTCTTCCACGGTATCTTCCTCGTCGAGCCCATGTGTCCTGCACACCACCCGCCCCGGTCGACCCTCAAGCTCGACGCCAACTTCTCCAAGGTCTGGCCACTCGTCAATGCTGCCGCTCGACGCCGGTCAGATTGGCCTACTCTGGACGATGCCGCGAAAGTCCGCTCTTCGCCTTTCTACGCGAGTTGGCACGAAGAAACTTGGGCACTATATCTCTCACACGGGTTTGTTCCCCTGCCAGGACAGGATGGGGCAGTCCAGCTCGCTACGCCGGCCTGGGCGGAAGGGTGTGTCTTTGCGGAGCCGACAGGCATAGCGGAGGGGTGGGACAGGCTGGCGCAGCTGGATGTTCCGGTGGGGTTCTTGATGGCGGGAGATAGCCGGTCGACGCAGGGCGATGAGGCGACGGCGCGGATGGTGTGGAGGCCGAAGCTCGGCTCGAATGAGCGGGTCATGGATGGTGGTCACTTGGTGAGTCGGCGTCAAACTGTAGTGAGGGGAACAGCGCTGATACCCTTAGCTCGTCCAGGAGAAGCCAGACGAGGTGGCTGACGCGCTTCATCGCTTCATTGGCGGCCTGTCGGAGGGCATTCTGACCGTTCGGGACGTCCTATCTCAAGCCAAGATGTGATGTCACTTGCGAGCGACCCTGTCATGGCAGGCTGGGGCCATCGATATGGCTGTTGCCATGACTTCTCTGGCTCAAACCCTGCTTACGATCTTGTCATAATTGCCCGCCTTGTGACCAGCTGAATGTCCGCAAAGTCACCGGTTTCACGCATATCTTACTGCTAATTACGCGAGACTGAGCTGCTGGCTCATCGGGTTGATCTACCTGACGCCCCCTCACAGCTGACAGGACGTAGCAGAATCTCTTGGAGCACCTCGCGCGTTGTGACTGCGCATGAACAACAGATGAGGAAAAGGATTTCGCCCCTGGACCGAACGCGTCTGGTCCCTGACATCCTTTATGGCTAGACCACCTCGACTTACTCGAGCTAGGCATGCGATTAAATGCCCGCCCCTGCGTCCCCAACTCTGAACATCATCTTCCCCCGCTTCATATTGTCATCATGGTCAATAATACCACGTCTACGATGACTGACAACAAGCCTTACATGACTGATGCCGTGAGCAAGCTCCTCTGCACGATCGAAGACGCGCGGGCATCCGGTACCGCTGTGGACCCCGCCAACGTCAAGACTCTCCTCACACTCAGCGAGGGTCTCGCAACGAACGGTCGATTCGACCTCATTGGATCACTCCTCGCTGCGGGCGCCATTACCGCGGCTGAGTCCGGGAATCTCAAGCCTTTCTTCACGGCTCAGACCCAGGGGGCTACAACGAGCCTTACTCAGACCATGAGGAAGTTGTGGTATGGGTCTGAAAAGCATCGCCACCAGGAGAAATGGACTCGGACCTTGGCTGAGATCCGGGAGTACATGCTCACTGACGCTGAAGATCATCCGGAGAGACTGCTCTGCTACTGGTCGTCGCCGCGCGAGGTGGACCGCTACCTCAGCGACATGAAGAACGAGGCGGGCGGCTTTCTGCGGACTCATCCCATCAGCAGGGAGGGAAGGGACTTGCTCTGTCATCATATTGCGCACGATGCGCGCAGGCTTGGTCTGCTGGAGACTCAGGCGGCCACGGGGTGTGAGGGCGTGACGGTGGCAGATATGGAGTCAGATGAGGGTTGGTGCAGCGTGGCGTTGCCTTTGCGATGATCGGCTCTGAAGTCATCTCCCACTTTGTACCTTCGTATCATTCGCTCGATTAGCATGTATGAGTCCATACCGTATCAGCCAAGCCAAAATGTTCGCTGTTTGCTTTGATGTCATCCGGGTGTCAGCCAGACGCTCCGGGCCTGGGGAAAGTGTACACCATATATTGTGGACCTCCAAATCAGGTTTGGTGCAGCTAGAGTAACTAACGTTGGCTGACTGGTATGTGCATCACAAAAGAAGCCATGACGTGAGCCAATGAACCGTGCATGTCCCATATACCATCTTACGCTGCAATGCCAAATTTACCAGCAGCCTCGTCAAATAAGCTCGATTTCGCCGCCAGATCAAGCGCGAAAGGGTGTGATGGTGCAGCTGCGGAGAGCTTGCTGGGAGGCGTCAGCACAATGTCACTCCATCTGCGTTGAACCCCTCGCAGTCGTCGTCGTCGGTCCGTCACTTACCTCGCATACCCCTCCAACCCCAAGCTTGTCCCCACCGCCAATACATCCCCATCCTTGTCCCCGCCGTCCCTTTGAAGCGCCTCCTGGATATCCGCCTTAGCCTCCTCCACGTGTGTGAGCAAGAGATGAGCGGCCGCATGGCCTGCGAGCACAGGTCCAGTTCGGCCGGAGGGGAGCTGGTAGAGCTCTTCAAAGTAGTAGTAGGATTGGTGCAGAGGTCGAGCGCCCTAATTATCAGCTACTGCTGCTTATCATGACGGAAGTAGCCGAAGCAGCAGCGGATACTTACGGTCTTGAGTCCGATCCAAGCTTCCATGGCCTGGATCAGGGTCGAATCATTCCCGATCTTCTTGGCGGACTGATAGGTGCTCTGCGCGAGGTCACGGCGGTCCAGCGACAGAAGGAGCTGTACCAGAAGCGCAAGGCTATATTGTCAGCTTGTCATCGCTCTCACAGACGTTGTAGCTCACCACTCCAGGTCAGTCTTAGCCGAACCCTCCGTAAGCGTAGCCACCGCCTCCTCCTTCTCCCCCTCTAAAATGAACAGCGTCCCCGCCATGACCCTGACCACCCCCTCTTCGATCTTCCGCTCCTCCGATCCCTCCTCTTCCGTCTCGTACTCCAAGACAAGATCCCTCACTTCATCTACTACGCCCGCGCGCCCCGACTCTGAGGTCAGGTACGTAGCGAGCGCAGCGACGGCCTTGGCAGCCGGTGAGGGGGCGCTTTCTGCGAGGAAAGGCTTGAGGACGGCTTGAGCGGCGGAGATGGACGGAGGGGAGAGGGCGAGGTTTGCACGGGCGATATAGAGCGCGCGGGGGAGGGCGTCGGCGGAGGAGTCGGAGGGTGAGTGGGGCTGGGATGAGGCTTCGGTTATACAGGCTAGGCAAGAATCAGCATATCTCTTAAGTTATACCATGTTGATGTGTCCGGCGATGGTCTCTCATGCTACAGCGGGAGGGATAGCATACCTTTGTAGGAAGCTAAGAGAATTAGCTGACGTTCTCATACAAGAACGCGATCCGGAACGTGTCGTCCCGGAACTCAGAAAGCAGCCGAACGACGACATACCCTGGTAGAAAAGCTGTTTCACGTGGTATAGCGAGTCGGCTTCCATCTTATTGCTTGTCTGTCGGATACTTTGTAGGTTGGTAATGATGTAGTTGGGATGAAAAGGCAGAAGTGAGCGTCGACTGAGATGCTCGTTGAGCTTTGCTCCGCATTCCGCGTCGCGTTGGCAGGTCCGTGCGTCCTTGTTCAGCTCACCACGCCCAGCAGGCCGTCGGCGTGGCCATGCAAGGAGTCGAACGAGCCCACGCAGTGATCAAGGGGTCTTCGGAGGTCTGAGGGATTCCAAGGTATGCAGAGCATTGCATAGGACCCTCAAGGGCAGGGGCAATGTAACGCCTCTATAGACAAGGTACCCCGACTCCCTTCTATGTCCCGCCTCCTCAATCAGTGAGCCCCGTATCCGTGTATGTACAAGCTGATCCGTCTATATTTACCAGGATATATGCTACTATGGTCCCTCTCTTGACTCCCTCGCTAGTCATCGCTTGCTTCCTGAGCGGCACGTCTTGCCGCCTTGGCCTGGGCTGCAGCGAACGCCTCCTCGGCCTCTTTCTGATTATCGATCCACCGGAATTTGGTTGATGGGTAGGTCGTTTGAGAGGCAGCTTCGGCGTCGGCAAAGAAGAAGACGAGCCCTGGGGCGCTGTGATATCAGTGATGAGCTTGCACAACAAGTAGACGTGCGACTTACGCTGGTCTGACGCGAGAGCAAGGGAGTCCTGTTTCCGGTGTATCGAGAATAGAGTGGAGCATCTCCTGCTTCTCGGCACCGGATACGACAAACACTGCTCGGTAGCAATGTGTGAAGACGGGCAGACTGGACAATGAGCTCTGTCCACTTCCGCCAAACAAAGACTCACGTCATGGTTATCCGCCTCTTGGGCCCTCTCGGCGCATCCTCCATAAAGCTGGACCCACGCATCCCTTTCACTGAGAATCTCATGACCCGGGAACAAACTCGCCGTCTCCCCATCTGGTCCCATTCCCAGCAACATGAGGTCGAACACGGGATATCGTGCCGCATTTGACGCAGCAAAGTGCTGGATCAATTGCTTCTCGTATTGGTCCGCCAGCTCCTCAATATCGTCAAGGAGCGAAGGATCTATCGTGTGGATCTGGGATGGGGGAATAGGGACGGTGGAGAGGAAAGAGAGGTAGTTGGAGTGGTAATTTGAGTCGTCGGAGTCGAGGGGTACGGCGGCTTCATCGCAGAAGAAGACCTCCCTGGGAGTGTCAGTCACCATCAGAGTTCATAAGGTCTGGAATGGCTTTACCATTTGTCCCATTGTACGTCCTTTTGTCCTACCAGTCCCCTCAAGTTTGCAGCAAGTGTTCCTCTTGACAGGGCAATGGTGAATTTGCCTCTCTTCTCTACTGCATCGCGCTGAGCTTTGACGACAAAGTTGGCTAAAGAGTCTGATATGATCAGCTATGTCCCGTCCTGACCGAGCGAAGGAAGCGAGCTAGCTCACCGACTAAGACGTCGTTGGACGGGAAAGAGTAGAAGACGGGAGGTGCGGGAGGTTGAGGGGGCATTTTGGTGGATGAGGAAGAAGTGGGTGGAGTGATGAGGGGGAGATGGGTTCTGGCGAGTAAGACCGGTCGCTCTGTCCTTGGTCACGAGTCAAGTGGCTTGCCGTGAAAGGTGGTTGTAGAAGGGGTCCTTGGATAACGTCAAGGAATTGATTGAACGCGTGAATTCCCCCTTGACTCGGAATTGGCTGATAGTGCGGAGGTAGACGGAGCGGACTCGGTCGGCGTCGTCTGGGGCCGCGGGGGAGCTTCCTGCCTGGAGGCTTCGGCTGCGTATGCTTGGCCTCAGAGCGGGAGCGGGCTTGCCTAGCGCCGAAGGAGGAGGAATGCTCAGCCGGTCGGCGAGGCGAGATATCCCTGGAAAGCGGTGCAGAGCTCTCTTTAGGGTCCTTGCGAAAGATTCTTTTTGTTTCGCTATGGATGGGTGGTGGCAGGGAACGATGGACGAGTGGGAGGGGAGCTATGTGTTGCGGTGGTGGTATATGCTATGAGGTAGAGAAGATAGAAGATGGATGATGCTGGAATGGCTGACAGCTAGTGGGGAATCCCTTTTCTTGCCGCTTTCGGCAATTTACAGATCTATCGTTACGTAAATGCGGCTGCAGTCCCGTGCGTCCGTTACCGTTGTTGCTGCAGCAGCCGATGGTCCGCGATCGGTGGAGGTGTACTCACCACTATACATACCGCAGCTAGCTCATACACCCCCTAGGGAACTCCTCAGGCATACTACAGCGAGAGCAAGCTACTCAGATTACCAGAAGGGCACAATGTCGGGCCAAATTATGTGGGGAAAGTGAGTATCTACAGCATCCGCTCTCCTCGCTTCCTTGTCGATGTGTTCGGACTGACCGGTCAGGTTCGCCGTATGGTCAACGATCAGTAAGCTCTCAGTCTCAGGGGGTGTCCAGAACGGCTTCGTCTGATCCGCTGCAAACTGCCTGATGAAGGAGCTGATATGGCCGCAGTAATGGCCAGCGGATGGGGTATCATGACATGTGAGTTCGCCATGGCTTTCAGGAGGAACCGCTTGCTGATTCAACAGGGTCCACCCCCACAGAGCAGCAGTTCTACGATGTGCGTCTTCTTTGGATCCTCAGAGCTCCAGGTGTTCGCTGACATATCAGGCATTATCACCCGAATTGAAGCGCAAGATGGACGACGTCAGGGCGCAAAGGGCGGGGAAGAATGAGATCCGGGACAAGCTCGAGGTGAGCTAGTGACATGTCATGTTGATCTCATGACACCAGAGCTGACTTGTAGAGCGCCAGTGCATCAGACCAGGTGGTGTGGGCAGACCAATTCGCCTCGGCAAAGACAAATACCGGGAATCGGAAAGTATAATCGCAGCTGCAGTGCTGAGGATCATTTCAGGTTCGCAGACAAGACCACACATGTACCAATACATCTATAACACATTGCTCACAGTCTGCCACCCTGTCTAATCTAACCTACTCACACCTCACATCACTGCCAATTCGTCAAAGCACTCTTCGCCACATCCCTCAATCCATCGGTTCGTAGGTATCATCCCAACCATCACCGCCCACCTTGGCCAGTGCGCTGGCAACCCACAGACTACTCGATGCGATGTATCCGGCAACGCTCGCCCCGAATCCCAACGTCTTGCCCTGTTTGGTTCAACATCCAGTAAACCGTTCGTAAGCCTCGCCTCAGTAAAGTCTGTCAAGCACGAAGCAGCCTTGGTGACTCGTTCGTCTTCAAGAGCCGAATTCAGAGTGGCGTTGAGGCTCGTGAGCGCGGGTGAAACGTACTCATTGATGCCCGAGTGGAGCGTTTGGCTCTGGTATGCGGAGTACAAGCCGCCAGCGGCGATGAGCGCCCCCAGCCCAGTGAGAGCGCAAGCCTTGGCGGAGGGCAGGTATGAGGACCGTAGAGAATTAGGACCGGCAACCTGCGTGGATCCGTTGTCGTCGTGCGAGGGCAGCGATGGGTTTGCTTGTCGGCCCTTCCCCGCCCTTTGCCGAGTTGTTCGCCCCGTCACTGCCTTCTGTCGGGCTCTTGAGTGACTTGACCGCATCTGGTGACGAGTCATCTTTCCCCCTCACCTTGCCAGCATGATCAGCCAAGGACACCGCCATATCCCCACCGCCAGCCTTGGGCGTCGCCTGGTCTGTGTTTGTGGATCCGGCCCCCTCCCGTGACGTCTTGCTCTGATGTCCTCCCAAGTTACCAGCGCTCCGGATCCTTCGAACCAGGTTGGCAACAGTGTCGAGCTGGGTACCCTTGATTCCTGACGGCCTGGCGCAGATGGTACCGTCAGTATAGGCAGGGTTCAAGAGCCTGTGGACCAGCGGGTGGGGCTCCCGGAGAGGAGTAGTATCACTGGACTCGCTGGCAATCGGTAGTACCGGCTGTGTGCTTTCAGTCCTGACCATGGCCGGCATCTTGGAATCGTTGCTTCTCGGAGGACCTCGCATGACGGGCTTGACGTCTGCCCCGGAATCTTCCTCCTGTACCTGCACGTGGGGACTGGTGGCCGCAGCGAACGCCAAGCGGGCGAGGTGACTTGCCCCACTGTACGTCGCCTTGGTCCCCCACCAAGAAAGTTGACCGGCACCATTGAGGACCCAGGATCCCCCATTGGCAGCATGGCCAGCCCCAGTGCAAGTCATCTCGGGTCAGCGCACTTGGCCAGAGTGGCCAATTGGCGAAACCTTCTGTGTCATCGATATAGCGCGCGTGTGATCTCAATCTGGCAAATCACAATCACTCTAGGGATTGTGTTATGAGAGAGATCCACCGGCGCTATAGGTCGTAATGATACACAGAATGGTTTCGCCAATTGGCCACTCTGGCCAAGTGCGCTGACCCGAGATGCACTTGCACTGGGGCTGGCCATTGCTGCCCAATGGGGGATCCTGGGTCCTCAATGGTGCCGGTCAACTTTCTTGGTGGGGGACCAAGGCGACGTACAGTGGGGCAAGTCACCTCGCCCGCTTGGCGTTCGCTGCGGCCACCAGTCCCCACGTGCAGGTACAGGAGGAAGATTCCGGGGCAGACGTCAAGCCCGTCATGCGAGGTCCTCCGAGAAGCAACGATTCCAAGATGCCGGCCATGGTCAGGACTGAAAGCACACAGCCGGTACTACCGATTGCCAGCGAGTCCAGTGATACTACTCCTCTCCGGGAGCCCCACCCGCTGGTCCACAGGCTCTTGAACCCTGCCTATACTGACGGTACCATCTGCGCCAGGCCGTCAGGAATCAAGGGTACCCAGCTCGACACTGTTGCCAACCTGGTTCGAAGGATCCGGAGCGCTGGTAACTTGGGAGGACATCAGAGCAAGACGTCACGGGAGGGGGCCGGATCCACAAACACAGACCAGGCGACGCCCAAGGCTGGCGGTGGGGATATGGCGGTGTCCTTGGCTGATCATGCTGGCAAGGTGAGGGGGAAAGATGACTCGTCACCAGATGCGGTCAAGTCACTCAAGAGCCCGACAGAAGGCAGTGACGGGGCGAACAACTCGGCAAAGGGCGGGGAAGGGCCGACAAGCAAACCCATCGCTGCCCTCGCACGACGACAACGGATCCACGCAGGTTGCCGGTCCTAATTCTCTACGGTCCTCATACCTGCCCTCCGCCAAGGCTTGCGCTCTCACTGGGCTGGGGGCGCTCATCGCCGCTGGCGGCTTGTACTCCGCATACCAGAGCCAAACGCTCCACTCGGGCATCAATGAGTACGTTTCACCCGCGCTCACGAGCCTCAACGCCACTCTGAATTCGGCTCTTGAAGACGAACGAGTCACCAAGGCTGCTTCGTGCTTGACAGACTTTACTGAGGCGAGGCTTACGAACGGTTTACTGGATGTTGAACCAAACAGGGCAAGACGTTGGGATTCGGGGCGAGCGTTGCCGGATACATCGCATCGAGTAGTCTGTGGGTTGCCAGCGCACTGGCCAAGGTGGGCGGTGATGGTTGGGATGATACCTACGAACCGATGGATTGAGGGATGTGGCGAAGAGTGCTTTGACGAATTGGCAGTGATGTGAGGTGTGAGTAGGTTAGATTAGACAGGGTGGCAGACTGTGAGCAATGTGTTATAGATGTATTGGTACATGTGTGGTCTTGTCTGCGAACCTGAAATGATCCTCAGCACTGCAGCTGCGATTATACTTTCCGATTCCCGGTATTTGTCTTTGCCGAGGCGAATTGGTCTGCCCACACCACCTGGTCTGATGCACTGGCGCTCTACAAGTCAGCTCTGGTGTCATGAGATCAACATGACATGTCACTAGCTCACCTCGAGCTTGTCCCGGATCTCATTCTTCCCCGCCCTTTGCGCCCTGACGTCGTCCATCTTGCGCTTCAATTCGGGTGATAATGCCTGATATGTCAGCGAACACCTGGAGCTCTGAGGATCCAAAGAAGACGCACATCGTAGAACTGCTGCTCTGTGGGGGTGGACCCTGTTGAATCAGCAAGCGGTTCCTCCTGAAAGCCATGGCGAACTCACATGTCATGATACCCCATCCGCTGGCCATTACTGCGGCCATATCAGCTCCTTCATCAGGCAGTTTGCAGCGGATCAGACGAAGCCGTTCTGGACACCCCCTGAGACTGAGAGCTTACTGATCGTTGACCATACGGCGAACCTGACCGGTCAGTCCGAACACATCGACAAGGAAGCGAGGAGAGCGGATGCTGTAGATACTCACTTTCCCCACATAATTTGGCCCGACATTGTGCCCTTCTGGTAATCTGAGTAGCTTGCTCTCGCTGTAGTATGCCTGAGGAGTTCCCTAGGGGGTGTATGAGCTAGCTGCGGTATGTATAGTGGTGAGTACACCTCCACCGATCGCGGACCATCGGCTGCTGCAGCAACAACGGTAACGGACGCACGGGACTGCAGCCGCATTTACGTAACGATAGATCTGTAAATTGCCGAAAGCGGCAAGAAAAGGGATTCCCCACTAGCTGTCAGCCATTCCAGCATCATCCATCTTCTATCTTCTCTACCTCATAGCATATACCACCACCGCAACACATAGCTCCCCTCCCACTCGTCCATCGTTCCCTGCCACCACCCATCCATAGCGAAACAAAAAGAATCTTTCGCAAGGACCCTAAAGAGAGCTCTGCACCGCTTTCCAGGGATATCTCGCCTCGCCGACCGGCTGAGCATTCCTCCTCCTTCGGCGCTAGGCAAGCCCGCTCCCGCTCTGAGGCCAAGCATACGCAGCCGAAGCCTCCAGGCAGGAAGCTCCCCCGCGGCCCCAGACGACGCCGACCGAGTCCGCTCCGTCTACCTCCGCACTATCAGCCAATTCCGAGTCAAGGGGGAATTCACGCGTTCAATCAATTCCTTGACGTTATCCAAGGACCCCTTCTACAACCACCTTTCACGGCAAGCCACTTGACTCGTGACCAAGGACAGAGCGACCGGTCTTACTCGCCAGAACCCATCTCCCCCTCATCACTCCACCCACTTCTTCCTCATCCACCAAAATGCCCCCTCAACCTCCCGCACCTCCCGTCTTCTACTCTTTCCCGTCCAACGACGTCTTAGTCGGTGAGCTAGCTCGCTTCCTTCGCTCGGTCAGGACGGGACATAGCTGATCATATCAGACTCTTTAGCCAACTTTGTCGTCAAAGCTCAGCGCGATGCAGTAGAGAAGAGAGGCAAATTCACCATTGCCCTGTCAAGAGGAACACTTGCTGCAAACTTGAGGGGACTGGTAGGACAAAAGGACGTACAATGGGACAAATGGTAAGCCATTCCAGACCTTATGAACTCTGATGGTGACTGACACTCCCAGGGAGGTCTTCTTCTGCGATGAAGCCGCCGTACCCCTCGACTCCGACGACTCAAATTACCACTCCAACTACCTCTCTTTCCTCTCCACCGTCCCTATTCCCCCATCCCAGATCCACACGATAGATCCTTCGCTCCTTGACGATATTGAGGAGCTGGCGGACCAATACGAGAAGCAATTGATCCAGCACTTTGCTGCGTCAAATGCGGCACGATATCCCGTGTTCGACCTCATGTTGCTGGGAATGGGACCAGATGGGGAGACGGCGAGTTTGTTCCCGGGTCATGAGATTCTCAGTGAAAGGGATGCGTGGGTCAGCTTTATGGAGGATGCGCCGAGAGGGCCCAAGAGGCGGATAACCATGACGTGAGTCTTTGTTTGGCGGAAGTGGACAGAGCTCATTGTCCAGTCTGCCCGTCTTCACACATTGCTACCGAGCAGTGTTTGTCGTATCCGGTGCCGAGAAGCAGGAGATGCTCCACTCTATTCTCGATACACCGGAAACAGGACTCCCTTGCTCTCGCGTCAGACCAGCGTAAGTCGCACGTCTACTTGTTGTGCAAGCTCATCACTGATATCACAGCGCCCCAGGGCTCGTCTTCTTCTTTGCCGACGCCGAAGCTGCCTCTCAAACGACCTACCCATCAACCAAATTCCGGTGGATCGATAATCAGAAAGAGGCCGAGGAGGCGTTCGCTGCAGCCCAGGCCAAGGCGGCAAGACGTGCCGCTCAGGAAGCAAGCGATGACTAGCGAGGGAGTCAAGAGAGGGACCATAGTAGCATATATCCTGGTAAATATAGACGGATCAGCTTGTACATACACGGATACGGGGCTCACTGATTGAGGAGGCGGGACATAGAAGGGAGTCGGGGTACCTTGTCTATAGAGGCGTTACATTGCCCCTGCCCTTGAGGGTCCTATGCAATGCTCTGCATACCTTGGAATCCCTCAGACCTCCGAAGACCCCTTGATCACTGCGTGGGCTCGTTCGACTCCTTGCATGGCCACGCCGACGGCCTGCTGGGCGTGGTGAGCTGAACAAGGACGCACGGACCTGCCAACGCGACGCGGAATGCGGAGCAAAGCTCAACGAGCATCTCAGTCGACGCTCACTTCTGCCTTTTCATCCCAACTACATCATTACCAACCTACAAAGTATCCGACAGACAAGCAATAAGATGGAAGCCGACTCGCTATACCACGTGAAACAGCTTTTCTACCAGGGTATGTCGTCGTTCGGCTGCTTTCTGAGTTCCGGGACGACACGTTCCGGATCGCGTTCTTGTATGAGAACGTCAGCTAATTCTCTTAGCTTCCTACAAAGGTATGCTATCCCTCCCGCTGTAGCATGAGAGACCATCGCCGGACACATCAACATGGTATAACTTAAGAGATATGCTGATTCTTGCCTAGCCTGTATAACCGAAGCCTCATCCCAGCCCCACTCACCCTCCGACTCCTCCGCCGACGCCCTCCCCCGCGCGCTCTATATCGCCCGTGCAAACCTCGCCCTCTCCCCTCCGTCCATCTCCGCCGCTCAAGCCGTCCTCAAGCCTTTCCTCGCAGAAAGCGCCCCCTCACCGGCTGCCAAGGCCGTCGCTGCGCTCGCTACGTACCTGACCTCAGAGTCGGGGCGCGCGGGCGTAGTAGATGAAGTGAGGGATCTTGTCTTGGAGTACGAGACGGAAGAGGAGGGATCGGAGGAGCGGAAGATCGAAGAGGGGGTGGTCAGGGTCATGGCGGGGACGCTGTTCATTTTAGAGGGGGAGAAGGAGGAGGCGGTGGCTACGCTTACGGAGGGTTCGGCTAAGACTGACCTGGAGTGGTGAGCTACAACGTCTGTGAGAGCGATGACAAGCTGACAATATAGCCTTGCGCTTCTGGTACAGCTCCTTCTGTCGCTGGACCGCCGTGACCTCGCGCAGAGCACCTATCAGTCCGCCAAGAAGATCGGGAATGATTCGACCCTGATCCAGGCCATGGAAGCTTGGATCGGACTCAAGACCGTAAGTATCCGCTGCTGCTTCGGCTACTTCCGTCATGATAAGCAGCAGTAGCTGATAATTAGGGCGCTCGACCTCTGCACCAATCCTACTACTACTTTGAAGAGCTCTACCAGCTCCCCTCCGGCCGAACTGGACCTGTGCTCGCAGGCCATGCGGCCGCTCATCTCTTGCTCACACACGTGGAGGAGGCTAAGGCGGATATCCAGGAGGCGCTTCAAAGGGACGGCGGGGACAAGGATGGGGATGTATTGGCGGTGGGGACAAGCTTGGGGTTGGAGGGGTATGCGAGGTAAGTGACGGACCGACGACGACGACTGCGAGGGGTTCAACGCAGATGGAGTGACATTGTGCTGACGCCTCCCAGCAAGCTCTCCGCAGCTGCACCATCACACCCTTTCGCGCTTGATCTGGCGGCGAAATCGAGCTTATTTGACGAGGCTGCTGGTAAATTTGGCATTGCAGCGTAAGATGGTATATGGGACATGCACGGTTCATTGGCTCACGTCATGGCTTCTTTTGTGATGCACATACCAGTCAGCCAACGTTAGTTACTCTAGCTGCACCAAACCTGATTTGGAGGTCCACAATATATGGTGTACACTTTCCCCAGGCCCGGAGCGTCTGGCTGACACCCGGATGACATCAAAGCAAACAGCGAACATTTTGGCTTGGCTGATACGGTATGGACTCATACATGCTAATCGAGCGAATGATACGAAGGTACAAAGTGGGAGATGACTTCAGAGCCGATCATCGCAAAGGCAACGCCACGCTGCACCAACCCTCATCTGACTCCATATCTGCCACCGTCACGCCCTCACACCCCGTGGCCGCCTGAGTCTCCAGCAGACCAAGCCTGCGCGCATCGTGCGCAATATGATGACAGAGCAAGTCCCTTCCCTCCCTGCTGATGGGATGAGTCCGCAGAAAGCCGCCCGCCTCGTTCTTCATGTCGCTGAGGTAGCGGTCCACCTCGCGCGGCGACGACCAGTAGCAGAGCAGTCTCTCCGGATGATCTTCAGCGTCAGTGAGCATGTACTCCCGGATCTCAGCCAAGGTCCGAGTCCATTTCTCCTGGTGGCGATGCTTTTCAGACCCATACCACAACTTCCTCATGGTCTGAGTAAGGCTCGTTGTAGCCCCCTGGGTCTGAGCCGTGAAGAAAGGCTTGAGATTCCCGGACTCAGCCGCGGTAATGGCGCCCGCAGCGAGGAGTGATCCAATGAGGTCGAATCGACCGTTCGTTGCGAGACCCTCGCTGAGTGTGAGGAGAGTCTTGACGTTGGCGGGGTCCACAGCGGTACCGGATGCCCGCGCGTCTTCGATCGTGCAGAGGAGCTTGCTCACGGCATCAGTCATGTAAGGCTTGTTGTCAGTCATCGTAGACGTGGTATTATTGACCATGATGACAATATGAAGCGGGGGAAGATGATGTTCAGAGTTGGGGACGCAGGGGCGGGCATTTAATCGCATGCCTAGCTCGAGTAAGTCGAGGTGGT